GACGTCATAATTATTTGGACTAACACAATACTTTATCCATGGAAAATGGAAATTTACTCAACTATACTGACAAATGAGACGTACGTGAAATGTACCAAAAATACATAATTCAAACCACAAAGGATAAGACAAAACACAATATCAAACCGAAACCACAACAGAAACATCATAAATAAATAAATGAATGTTGGATGTATAAATACCTAGACACGTCGTATAGCAATGCAATTTCACACTCGGAAAAACAGTCATATTCGGGAATAGGTCACGTTCGGTACTTAGAAGACAGACGACATAGATGTTAAACCACAATCTAAGACGTGGTAAAAATGTCATTAGTGAGTTTAGACACAGACAAATCATATTTATCAACCAATTCGTGATGATGTCCATAAAATTTACGGAGTGTCATTTTTAATCTTTCATCCTCATAACTCTGTTGGAGCAGTTTCTGCGTAAGTAGCACGCTCCTGTATATGAAATCATTATGCACGAGCATAACGTATTAGTTGAGAATTGAGATATGTAAACACCATACGACGGAGCAGAGGGTATGTTACTGCTGAGAAAGGGGAAATTGATAATTGGGAAGTTGAAATCATCCCGTTTATCATAGATTTTAGTGTAAAGTCGTCCATCTGTGTCAATATTGAGGAAAAGATCAAGGTATGAATCAGTCCTTCTAGTATCAGTAGTAACCTTAATTTCAAGTTCACTGGGAAATATGAGATGCAAGTACTGACTGAAATATGGGTTTTTCAGTGATAGGACTTCATCAATACATCTGAAAGTAAAATTAAAGAATTTTGCAGGGTGCTTTTTTTTGTCATTTAGAAGGTTCGGATAAATTATTGTTTCGACACAAATTTTTAGGAACAGCTTTCACGGATCCATTGGTAACCTGTGCCTTGAACCCTTAAAATAACTCTGTAGGTGGCATGTTTCCAGTAAACATTCTAATCCCTATCGAAATATATAACATACCCTCATTTTTAAGTGGCAGTCAAAATTTAATGCTTTCATATCTGCAGACATACCTGTTGTATAAACTGTTAAATTGTTTTATTAAACATGCATGCACTATTTGCCACTGGACATTAAGTAAGCAACAATCGATCTTGGTATTGCATGCATGCATCACAATTTTAATCACCTGAAGTGTTTATTTTTTGCTAAATCGTGATTTTTGGTTAATGTCTCAAGAATGCAGGTTTCCTCGCATTTTGTTACTTATTTCTATTTTCCATTTCATCATACTTTAAACATTTATGAAATATTTTGCCATGACTCTAGTGCTGTGATGTGTAGATCCTGGACTGTCTTTTTGAAGACATGACGATTCTTTGGACGACAAATAATAAATATGATTACATTTGACAAAAAAATTTTAAAATTATGTTTGTCCGCATTTCTAACGGAAGTACCTCACACACACGACATTGGTTAGCTGAATCATTGTAAGGAGATCGTACGTTATCGTAAAAATCATAGACATTATTAATGACAAGTTTGTAATGTTTCAGTAATTAATATATAAAGTAAACATAGTCTCTGATAGTTAAAGCAGGTTCAAATCGCGCAATGCTGTTAATTTTGGATGCATATTTACACAGTCTCTGATGTAAATGCTTCATCTTTGTCAACTATGACATTTGTAAATGTATATAAGTTCAAATCACATAGTGCTATTCATTTTGGATGGATAAGTACGCAGTCCCTATGGTGAATAGCGAATTCGGGTTTTAATTTAAATAACGTTCAAGATAAAATCCCAATACAATAATATGATCTATTTTACATCATACTGATTACGAATAACTGTTATTGGAAATATTTATTGATACTTGTATTATTATAGCCTTTTTTAAAAATATTTGTTTTGTTTTGTTACTTTAAGGCGGATATATCATTTCTTTATTGTTAACTGTGTCATTCTTTCATAACGACGCAACGACCTCGTAAGAAAGATCATTGGCTAATATCTAGTCGTTTTATATATATATACACACACACACACACACACACATATATATATATTTATTTCCTCCCAACCTGGGGCTTAATCACAATACACGTATTATTTTAAGTGTACAGGAATGATCATCAACTCATCACAATAGTATAACTGCATGATGCTATTTTTGATATACAGTGCATCGCTATGAATTTATATTTAGACATGTCTGTTTATGTGTAGTGACAGCTGAAAATTATACCTTGTCCATTAGATTTCCTATGATTAGAAAAAACCAGGCATCAGGAGTATTATATAATGGTAATCAACTTAACAATGTTAGAGTAGATCTGATACATTTCTTTCTCCATATATCAAGTTTTATGTCTTACATTTAATGCTGTATATTGAGTTCAGTTATCTGTGTTGCATCGATGAAGTTGCAGAAATGAGCCTTTGGCAAGCTGTTTCTGGCACTAAGTGACGTTTACATATTTCGTTTGAAAGTACATACCGGAGAGATATATATATGTGTCTTGGTATTTATTGTATAAGCACACATCTAAAAGGTACAGCAGGGGATGAACTTTTTTCTGGCCAGGTTTAACTAGGACTCGACCAAGTAATTTAGCTAAGCCTGGATAGAAAAGAGCGAAGGACTCAAATGTTTTGGGGTAAAGATTGCATTCATGCAATCAAAACCCTTATGTGGAAGGCTTAATATCTATATCTTCAAGGGTTTATACTTCTCGAGAAAACTGATTTGTTTAGAATTACAAAAGTACCAATCTGTTTTAAAATTATAGGTTCAACTACAAATGAACACTTATGAACAAAGGAAGATAACTCAAATCTAAAATATCTTTATTGGCTAAATGCAATGTATACAACACTTTGGAGGTATTTTAAGTTTACATATCATAATGAAAGCTTCAGTGCACACAATCATTTTGTTTTTTTTTAATTTAACTGAAATTTATGAAATTTATGTAAAATAGCAACATTTGATTTTTACTTCACATCCCATTAAAATTTAAACAGAATAGTTTGGCGTACTGAAAGAACTTTTTAATCATTTAAGAATTGGTTTGTACAGAGAAAGTCAGTTCTGGCATTTTCATTCTTTTTTATTATCCCACTAGTTCGTGTATTGTGCCTGAAAGAAAACTCACATATTTGGCAGAATGAGATACAAAACGTATGATTATTAACCAGAGAAGTTTCGTCAGTCAGCTGGCTTGGTTAAAATATGCTGACATGTAGTATCATGGTCATTTTCTGTTTTATCGTCACTATGTGTTGAATCTTCGACCTTCTGTTTACCACATTTCTGGTAATTTGTCCAAAGCCTACAAAACACTCATGTGAATCACTTTTGAAACTCCCATTGCATATTCATTCGAAGAATGTGTATGGCTACATGGTTTTTTATTTATGTCAAGCAAGTCTGATAGACTTTGTTGCTTAATTATACGGTATTAAAAAATCCATCATAGACGAGTTCCTGGCCATGGGCTGACGAAATTTATGGCAGTATTTACTTTTTGGGGTAAAGCATTTGCAGTTCTGCAGCTTCGATGGATCAAGTATAGATAAGTAATGTAAGTCAGTCTGCTTTAAGAATTCAGATGGATACCATCTATGATGTTATAATGAATAGAAAATTTTGATTAGTTTAATCTAATATATCGCTTTGAATGCATGTACTTGTTCAATTATAGTAAATATGCTTTTGCATTTTTTGCATTAATATATGACTTTATTAATCATAAAAAACCGTCCTATTCCTAACAGGTATGATGCTTCATTGCTTCGCATCACGGTGCGGAGTTATTAGTTTCAGTCGATATATATACACGCCATCTTGAAATAATTACTTATCACATATAGATTCTGATTGGTTGCTTTATGATGCGGCTGAGATACAGCAACAGCTATTGGTTTAAATGAAAGAATTACAGACTTTTCTCGTCTCAGAATAAGACATCAAATGCGGAAAATTAACTATGTACTATGTATATTTCAGTTCCGATCAACTGTCATTAATTCATGTTCGTTTTATTATGAATATATTTAACACTGAAATTCAATAATGAAATATCATTTATTAATACGTGTTTATTTGCTTTGTTAATCTGCAATAAGCACGATTTGTTTTGCTAAACAATGTTCCTATACAATGTTTACAAAAATGCATTATCTGTATTTTATAACTTCTGCAAATTTAGGCACACCTCCAGAGTCATGTCTATTTGTAAATTAGGATAGAGCGAAGCAGTCAACAGCTTTTTAGAAAGCTCAAACTGGTTTTAATTTTATAATGATTAAAAAACCGTACTGTTCCTAACAGTATTGTAGTTTCATTATAGCTCGCGAAAAATTGTTAGGACAAATTAAAATACATCACTGAAGAGACATGTATTGTCGAAATGCGCATCTGGTGCAGTACAATTAGTACCGTTTATATTATTCCGGCGTCAAACTTGAACATTAGACGATTTAAAAATTTTGTACACTTTAGAATGTAAACAATATTGTCAAACAAAAGATTTAAGGTAAAAAGTGTGAGTGTTTTGTATATTATTGCAGAAATTACATATGGCAGGTGCCATGGACGAAATGTACATCGTTTAATGTCGTAATATCGTCTCATGATGGTGGATAAGCCAATCAAATTAAAACAGTTTTTGTAAAAAAAAAATTGTATCACACTCCATGCAGTGTCTCTTCATGCAAGAAATAGATAATTGGCCACAACCATAAGAGAATGGCATTTATATTTTGATAATAAATATATTAGTCAAATGTCACCCTAGCAGGCTAGCTTCATATATCTGCTGATAAGGTCGTCAAAAACAAACTTGCCATTTATCTATAAATATTCTGTCACCAGACAAAGACAGAATGATCACTGCTATCGTCTTTTATCGTCGGTGTTTGCATAACACTTAATTAAACCGCAACTCCTTGAAAACTAAATCAAACGTGCACAGCTGGTGACACACCTCTTCCATGTAAGATTCACACGTTATTTTCTCCGTTAAAGAGATGGATTAAACAAGAACTGACGAGAGTTAAAGCAAAGACAACTGGTACTCCAAAATGGTGGACCAGTCTACAAAAGAAAGGAACTGTTTGGAACTGGGGCAGTAACATTGCATTAAATGACACTGTTGTGTAAGTATATATCATATATACCAAATACACAATTGACATTCCTTTTCCTTCTTGACTATACACATCCATTTTTCTTATTTACTTCTTACTTGGATAGATACTTAAATAGATTTTGGTCTTTCAGATAAACAGTCTTGGTCTGCACCAACTGTACATATATTATACAATATTTTGATCTTTGCGTCTTTACGGTTTTTTTTAAGCCTCCATTTTATGTTTATGAAGTCTTTTTTTCTGGAAAATGTGTTGTACGTTGAAATAATAGTTGAACTGGTTGTGGAATGTACATGGTTGTCAGGCTAAAATTATTGAAAATGGCCTAAAAAGCCAGAAGATTTGTAGACTATTAAAAAGCTAAAATAGTGAGCAGAAAGATCTTTAAAAGATACTTCATGATATATTCTAGCACAAAATGAATTTGTTATTGCCTTTTTTCATTTTCAGTCGCTGGGGTTTAGGTGAACCCAATATTCATCATCATTGTGCAGAAATCTGTTGTCCACATTTCTTAAATGATATCAATTGTGAAAAAAGGATCAATTATATTTGTGAACTTGATAAAGGTATGTTATACAATTATGATATCTGATGGAATAATTGTCTCATTGGAAATCATACCACATCTCCTTATTTTAGCTCATCTTGCGCAAAGGGTCAAGTAAGCTTTACTCATCACTTGGCGTCCGTCGTCCGTCGTCGTCGTCGTCCGTTGACTTTTACAAAAATCTTCTCTGAAACTACTGGACCAAATTTAACCAAACTTGGCCACAATCATCATTGGAGTATATTGTTTAAAAAAATGTGTCCCATGACCCAACCTGCTAACCAAGATGGTCGACATGGCTAAAAATAGAACATAGAGGTAAAATGCAAGTCTTGTCTATTATTTTGAAAACTGTTATAAATAGAGAGAAACTTTAAATTGCACAAATGATCAGCAAGACAAGTTCACATTTTCGAAATCGTTAGTCGAGTCCTTATTAGAGTTATTGCCCTTTGATGACGATTTTTACTAATTCTAGCGTTTTTCCCTTATATCTTAAAAATTATAATATATAGATAAAAACTTAAATAAGTAAAAATGATCAGCAAGACAAGACCTACAATTAAGACAATATGAGAGAAATCGTCCGACGACTCCTTATTGTAGTTATTGCGCTTTATTGACGATTTTTACCATTTTATTTGCGTTTTGCCCTATATGATAAAAATTATAAAAAATGAATAGACACTTAAAATGACAACAATAATCAGCAAAGCAAGATCTACATACAAGTAAAATTTTGCCGATATAGTTAGTAGACTGTCACTCTCCATAGAAATGGTTGCCCTTAAATGAGGAATTTTTTACCCTCTTTTGTGTTTTTAGCAAACACTAAAGAAGATAGAGAGAAACTAAAACTAAATAATCAGCAATACAAGATAAAAAAAAACAGAGATTTTTGTCATGAAATCTATTCTCGTCTACATTGTTGGAGAGTGTCCTTTGTTGAATATGCACATAGACCAAGGTGAGCGACAATGGCTCTTTAGAGCCTCTAGTTATAAAGTTATAAAAAAGACAAAAAAAGATATTCAGTATAAAACATGTACATGGACTACAGTTTGTCCGTGCTGGTTGTCTTAAGGAATATCACCAGAGCTTCAACTCCTCATATCCAACCAGGAATGACATCACGTGACTTTCATGATGTTGTTATCCGCCATCTTTAGTAAAGTTATCTCATAGAAATTGCATAGGCCCTTCAATTAACTTTATTTTTTCCGTTACTATGATCCATTTTCTACCTTTACAGCTCTTTCCTTGGTTTTCTTACATAATTCTCCCTAAAAATGTTGGTACTGACAGATTAAATAACGTCCCTAATCAATTGTAAATATCGTTCTTGTTTTCCTCGTCTGTCCATCCAATCTATAGTTAAATTGGCAACCCAACGTCTATTCATAAATCAATTTCACAAGTTCCTCAAGTAAAAGTAATACTTTGCAACTATATTATAATGACGGAAACATACAATGCACATGTAGGAATGTATACTACTTTCAACAGTTTAAATTGATTGCAAATTACGTCCCTAATCGATTCTTTTGTCAATATAAGAATTTTTCAAAATGGCAGCTGTGTTATTATTGTATTTATACTTCAGAATCATCTGTATTTCAATACAAAAACACTTAAATTACTACAAAATCTCAGACAAAGGTAATGATAGCAGATAAGCAGTGTAAATTACAAACAGATAGATACAAATCTTCGTTACGCAATTATTCAAGTATTACACAGAAAACTTACGCTAAATAAAATTACCAACATTTGTTATAGACTTCCATGTACAAAGTTATTTCTAGAATTTTAAAGTAATATGTGACATATTTTACCTCTGGAAAATAAATTCTATCACAACACTGAATAAAATATCATAACAATGATAATGAAAAAATTAAATATTAAATATTTCCAGCTTCTAAATGTTTTAACATACAAGTAATTATTTCTATAAATATATCAATAGTAAAATAGATAAATCTGATTTTTATTTTGCAGTGTGTAGAATTCGTGATTTCATTCTGAGACTATTATTATACATTTTGGACATTTCAATTATTAAGCACCGCCGTAGCCAATTGGGGCATTAAGTGTTACCCTTGACCGTCCTTCCGTACTTCCGTCCGTCCAAATTTCGTTAGCGCATTCTAACTTAAGTTTTCCTCATCCAAATTATATGAAACTCATACAAAATGCCAAGAACCACAAAACACTAACAGAGTTCGAATTTGAGTAGTGAGTCATTAACCGCTCAGAGTTATCCCCCTTTTTAACTTGGAAAATTTCAAATTTTTCAGTTTCCGCAATCTAACTTAAGATTGTCTCATCCAATGTTTATGAAACTCATACACAATTCTTACAACCACAACACGCAGACAGAGTTCGAATTTAGGCAGTTTGTCATTTCCCTTCTAGAGTGATGCCGCCTTTTAACTTGGAAAATTGCAAAGCTTAAGCGAGGGCATTTGTGTCCTAAGACACATTGTACTTTTATCTTTTAAACAATTCAACTAGACAATTTTTTTATCGATATTTGACATATTGTCGAGACAAATTGCACTTAATTACCTGTAAGACCTTTAACCAGCTGATCTGTAGCGTAAGAGTTATCGACCCTTGTTGTGACTGATATAGCTGCGTATGAGTTGACCTGTTATTTAGCATGTTTATCTATTGGCAAAAAATATCAAAATATCAAATAAAATTAGTAGACTAACTAAGTCCTTATAATTGAATAATTTAAAGTAACATTCCTTTTTAGTGGAAATAATATACTTTGGTTTTCATATATAGTCTTTTTAAAAAAAAGAGTTCAAATGCTCTATGTAGGTTCAAAACCTAATTTCTCACTAAAGCATTTGACATAAGTTTGAAGTTTCTGGAATAAAGTGGTGGTTATGGTTGTTATCCGTTGTTATTCTGTGGTTTACATGTTGTAATGTACTATTATATTAGTTATTTATGTATTTCTCTGTCCTGGGTGTTGTTACGTTTATTTTTCTGTTGTATTCCTTTTATAGGTGATGTGTTTCCCTCGGTTTTAGTTTGAAACTCGGATTTGTTTTCTCTTAATCGATTCATGACTATTAAACAGCGGTATACTACTGTTGCCTTTATTTAAGATGTTCTGTTTTTGTGTTTGTGCGTATGTGTATTTTGTGTGCGTTTGTGTTTGACTTTTTGGAATTGAAACATAGTACAAAAGGATGTCACTCTAGCATACAAATGGCATATCAAACGAATTAATTAACACAACATTCGTGCTCCAGCTTCATTGAAGATTCTAAATTATCAATATAACCTACAGTTGTTAATCTATAGGAGAGTGACAGCTAACGAATGCTAACCCACAGTAAAGTATTTATGTTTTTACATTTTTTTAAACCTACTCAGAAAAATGCACGAACTACTTGACTTTCAAAGCTCATAACTATCGTGTTTACACATAAATATAATATAGTCGTTAAACATTATTTGTTTCTAACAATAAAAGACACAATACAGATCGAATGCTTGCATCAACTTACCCAAATCAAGATTTAATTAAAGCCTAAACATTTTGACATAGTTTATTTTTTTATCCGTGTCGATTTTTAGCTCACCGGGGCCCAAAGGGCCCCATGTGAGCTTTTGCCATCACTTGACGTCCGTCGTCGTCCGTCGTCTGTCGTCGTCGTCTGTCGTCGTAAACTATTTCAAAATCTTCTCCTCTGAAACTACTGGGCCAAATACCTTCAAACTTTTACTAAATGTTCCTTAGGGTATTTAGTTTATAAATTGTATCCGACAAACATGGCCGCCATGGCTAAAAATAGAACATAGGGGTCAAATGCAGTTTTTGGCTTATATCTCAAAAACTAAAGCTTTTAGAGCAAATCTGATATGATGTAAAATTGTTCAATTGGTCAAAATCTATCAGCTCTGAAATTTTCAGACGAATCGAAAAACCCATTGTTGGGTTGCTGCCACCGGATTGGTAGTTTTAACAAAATTTTGCAATTTTTTGTTATTATTTTGAATATTATTATAGATATATATAAACTGTAAGCAGCAATAATGTTCAGCAAAGTAAGATCTACAAAAAAGATAATATGACCATAATTGTCAGTTGATCCCTTAAGGAGTTATTGCCCTTTAAAGACAATTTTACACAATTTGTTCATCAAGTTTGCTAACATTTAAAAATCTTATCCTCTGAAACTACTTGTCCAATTACCTTTTAACTTTAACTAAATTTTCCTTAGGGTATCTTGTTTATAAATTGTATCCGAAGTTTGTATCCATCGACAAACATGGCCGCCATTGCTAAAAATAGAACATAGGGGTCAAATGCAGTTTTTGGCTTATATCTCAAAAACTAAATCTTTTAGAGCAAATGTGACATGGGGTAAAATTGTTCAATTGGTCAAGATCTATCGGCCCTGAAATTATCAGACGAATAGAATAAAACAACCCATTGTTGGGTTGCTGCCACCGAATTGGTAGATTTATCAAAATTTTGCAGTTTTTTGTTATTATTTTGAATATTATTATAGATATATATACACTGTAAACAGCAATAATGTTCAGCAAAGTAAGATCTACAAAAAAGTTAATATGACCAAAATTGTCAATTGACCCCTTAAGGAGTTATTGCCCTTTAAAGACAATTTTACACAATTTGTTCATCAATTTTGCTAACATTTAAAAATCTTCTCCTCTGAAGTACAGGTGAGCCATTCAGGCTCTTGAGAGCCTCTTGTTTTAATATTATCATAACTTCCTGTTAAGATTTGACTACATACCCATATCCCGATATCGTCAGGTAAATACGCTATGTTATTATCAAAACCCTAACAAATGCACCTGCATTTCAACTATCATCAAAATTATTCCAACTTTTCATTCTTACCCACTAAACAGAACCAGCTATTTAATATTTACTAACTTGTCAAGAACATTTTATTGCTTGACATAAAGCTCCTAGCGGAACCAAATAGATATAATTGTCTTGAATATGGAAAATAGAAACATTATTTATGCAGCAAGGTCACAGTAACGCTACATGTTTATGTATGACTCTTCAAATAGAAGGTGTGGTTCGTATTTTAACAAATCGATTTTAAGTGCATTTAAGGTCATAGTTTTGGTTTATATGTCAAAGTACAAAAACAGTTCATGTATTGAACTTTTTGGAAATCTTATGTTTCATCAACTGAATTTTTACTGGAAAAATAAGACTACTAGAACTTTACAATTGAATGATATATGACATTTTACAGCAATATTTCTAAGAGCACTCAGTTAATAAGCCATATTTGAATTCATCATTCTCAAATGAGGCTAAAGTTTTATATGAATGATAATCAGTAATCATATGTATAATATTCTTTTTCGATTTAGACTTAACCCCATATAGCATTATATATGCAGAGGAGCCCGTAGGTGGCCTATTGAACGACAAAATTACTATGCAGTTATTCTCGAAAGCACAATGACTAATCTCGCATTTTTGTTCATTCTTCAACAGACGCAATACATGTAATAAATGTGAGCACAAATTTTTGAATTTACAGTAATAGTATATAAAAGTGAATTAAAAAAAAAATTTCTAACAAAACTAGAGTATTTTTTGTTCTTGTATTTGTCATTTTTTTACTGATATATTACCTAACTGTTTTTGCAGTTACATTAAAATACAGTCTGGGGCTACAAATTTTTAGACGTCAATAATTTTCAAAAACATTTATTGAATTTTATGAAACTTATTTAGCTTATATCAAGAGATCCCTTTAGGGGCAAAAGTATGAAACTTTTTTTTTTTTTTTTTATTCTTTTACTTATAAATGGACTTATTTGGTAGTTAACATTTAAATACAGTCTCAACTATATTAAATATAGACATCAACCCTTCATGCAATTTAACAAAGCTATGCCAGAAGCTTCTTCACAATCAAGAGATAGTACTCTAAACAAAATTAAGATTTTATAAATATATCAATAGTAAAATAGATAAATTTGATTTTTATTTTGCAGTGTGTAGAATTCGTGATTTCATTCTGAGACTTTTATTATACATTTTGGACATTTTGATTATTAAGCACCGCCGTAGCCAATTGGTCCATTAAGTGTTATCCTTGACCGTCCTTCCGTCCTTCCATCCGTCGAAATTTCGTTAGCGCATTCTAACTTAAGTTTTCCTCATCCAAATTATATGAAACCCATACACAATGCTATGAACCACAAAACACTAACAGAGTTCGAATTTTGGGCAATGAGTCATTAACCGATCAGAGTTATCCCCCTTTTTAACTTGGAAAATTTCAAATTTTTCAGTTTCCGCAATCTAACTTAAGATTGTCTCATCCAATTTTTATGAAACTCGTACACAATTCTTACAACCACAACACGCAGACAGTGTTAGAATTTGGGCAGTTCGTCATTTCCCTTCTTGAGTGATGCCCCCTTTTAACTTGGAAAATTGCAAAGATTGAGTGAGGGCATTTGTGTCCTAAGACACATTGTTTTTTTATCTTATAAACAATTCAACTTGACAAATTTTTTATCGATATTTGACATATTGTCGACAAAAATTGCACTTAATAACCTGTAAAAACTTATCGACCCTTTACCAGCTGATCTGTAGCGTAAGAGTTATCGACCCTTGTTGTGACTGATATAGCTGCGTATGAGTTGACCTGTTATTTAGCAAGTTTATCTATTGTCATAAAAATATCAAATAAAATTAGTAAATTTGGCTTACTAAGTCCTTATAATTGAATAATTTAAAGTAACATTCATTTTTAGTGGAAAATTGATTAATGTAAGATAACTCTGGTTAATTTTCCAAACATTTTCATCATTATGGGGAGATAATATACTTTGGTTTTTATACATAGTCTTTTTAAAAAAAGTTCAAATGCTTTATGTAGGTTCCAAAGCTTATTTCTCACTAAAGCATTTGACATAAGTTTGAAGTTTCTGGAATAAAGTGGTGGTTATGGTTGTTATCCGTTGTTATTCTGTGGTTAAAATGTTGTAATGTACTATTATATTATTTATTTTTTGTATTTCTCTGTCCTGGGTGTAATTGAGTTTATTTGTACTGTATTCCTGTCACGTAATGTTGTCATTTTAGCGGTATTTTTAACATTGCCATATAAGCAGGAGGTTTGGCTAGCCATGAAACCAGGTTCAACCCACCATTTTTTCTTAAAATGTCCTGTACCAAGTCAAGAATATGGCAGTTGTTATCAAATAGTCCGTTTCTATGTATGTTTGCGTTTGTTTTTGTTGCAGTTCAATGTTTCTGTTGTTCCGTTGTTTTCCTTTTATATGTGATGTGTTTCCCTCGGTTTTAGTTTGAAACTCGGATTTGTTTTCTCTTAATCGATTTATGACTATTAAACAGAGATAGACTACTGTTGCCTTTATTTATAGTGTTCTGTTTTTGAGTTTGTGCGTATGTGTATTCTGTGTGTGTTTGTGTTTGACTTTTTGGAAATAAAACATAGTACGAATGGATGTCACTCTTGCATACAAATGGCATATCAAACGAATTAATTAACACAACATTCGTGCTCCAGCTTCAATGAAGATTCTAAATTATCAATATAACCTACAGTTGTTAATCTATAAGATAGTGACTGCTAACGAATGCTAACCCACAGTAAAGTGTATTTGTTTGACATTTTTTTAAACCTAGTCAGAAAAATGCACGAACTACTTGACTTTCAAAGCTCATAATTAACGTGTTTACACATTAATATAATATAGTCGTTAAACATTATTTGCCTCCAACAATAAAAGACACAATACAGATCGAATGCTTGCATCAACTTACCAAAATCAAGATTTAATTAAAGCCTGAACATTTTGACATAGTTTTTTTTTTTTATCCGTGTCGGTTTTTTAATATTATCACAACTTCCTGTTAAGATTTGACTACATACCCATATCCCGATATCGTCAGGTAAATACGCTATGTTATTATCGAAACCCTAACAAATGCACCTTCGTTTCAACTATCATCAAAAATATTCCAATTTTTCATTTGTACTCACTTGATAAATTGTATCCGAAGTTTGTATCCATCGACAAACATGGCCGCCATGGCTAAACATAGAACATAGGGGTCAAATGCAGTTTTTGGCTTATATCTCAAAAACTAAATCTTTTAGAGCAAATGTGACATGGGGTAAAATTGTTCAATTGGTCAAGATCTATCGGCCCTGAAATGATCAGACGAATAGAATAAAACAACCCATTGGTAGATTTATCAAAATTTTGCAGTTTTTTGTTATTATTTTGAATATTATTATAGATATATATAAACTGTAAGCAGCAATAATGTTCAGCAAAGTAAGATCTACAAAAAAGTTAATATGACCAAAATTGTCAATTGACCCCTTAAGGAGTTATTGCCCTTTAAAGACAATTTTACACAATTTGTTCATCAATTTTGCTAACATTTAAAAATCTTCTCCTCTGAAGTACAGGTGAGCCATTCAGGCTCTTGAGAGCCTCTTGTTTTAATATTATCATAACTTCCTGTTAAGATTTGACTACATACCCATATCCCGATATCGTCAGGTAAATACGCTATGTTATTATCAAAACCCTAACAAATGCACCTGCATTTCATCTATCATCAAAATTATTCCAATTTTTAATTCTTACCCACTAAACAGAACCAGCTATTTAATAATTACTAACTTGTCAAGAACATTTTTATTGCTTGACATAAAGCTCCTATCGGGACCAAACAGATATATTTGTCTTGAATATGGAAAATAGAAACATTATTTATGCAGCAAGGTAACAGTAACGCTACAATGTTTATGTATGATTCTTCAAATAGAAGGTGTGGTTCGTATTTCAACAATTCGATTTTAAGTGCATTTAAGGTCATAGTTTTGCGTTATATGTCAAACTACAAAAACAGTTCATGTATTGAACTTTTTGATAATCTTATGTTTCATAAACTGAATTTTAATGGAAAAATTAAGACTACTAGAACTTTACAATTGAATGATATATGACAATTTACAGCAATATTTCTAAGAGCACTCAGTTAATGAGCCATATTTGAATTCAATATTTTCAAATGATGCTTAAGTTATATATGAATGATAATCAGTAATCATATGTATAATATTCGTTTTCGATTTAGACTTAACTCCATATAACATTATATATGCAGTGGGGCCCGTAGGTGGCCTATTGAACGGCAAAATTACTATGCAGTTATTCTCGAAAGCACAATGACTAATCTTGCATTTTTGTTCATTCTTCAACAGACGCAATAATAAATGTGAGCACAAATTTTTGAATTTACAGTAATAGTATATAAAAGTGAATTAAAAAAAAAATTTCTAACAAAACTAGAGTATTTTTTGTTCTTGTATTTGTTATTTTTGTACTGATATATTACCTTACTGTTTTTGCAGTTACATTAAGATACAGTCTGGGGCTAAGGATTTTTAGACGTCATTAATTTTCAAAAACATTCATTTAATTTTATGAAACTTATTTAGCTTAAATCAAGAAATATCATTAGGGGCAAAAAAGTATGAAACTGTTTTTTTTTTTTTTTTTTTCTTTTTTTTTCTTTTACTTTTCGTTTATTGAAATAGATTGCTCAAATGATAATTATGTAAACCAGCAATTCGAAAATATGGATCATTTATTGTTTTAAATCGAATATTGTTTTAAAGATTTTTTTATCTGTATATTATTTTTTTATATGCATCATACATTTAAAATTTTTCAATATATTTCCCTTGAAAACTACATGGAGTGATTCACATACACAGTTTGCAGATAAAACATTTGTTAGCATTTGTTAATTTTAGTCTTTTTTCCAGAGATATTTCCATTGACTTGTGATGCAGATAATGGATGGGAGTACCACCAGGGATCATGTTATAAATTTGTCAAAAAATTCAAGACGTGGAATGAATCCGCGTACGTATATAAAATCCACTTATCAAACAAAATAGTATTACTTATGGAATATCTAAAATGTCTAAAGCAAGAATTATAGACAAATGTTCAATGACTGACCAAATAACACTATAGTTCACAAATGTGTATATATATGAAAAGTAAATGTGTATGTTGCATTGACTTTAATCTAACGTACTGTGTAAATTCAGAAATTATTGCATTTTTCTTAATACGAAATATGCGACAGTATCAGATTCGCAAAAATAAAAACTCACATTTATAAATTCAGTAGTAATTTTGGTTCACACAATTTTTGCACTCGCATTAATTAGATTCATATTTTTACCAGTAATTAGTGAATTTACAATAAGTAAAAATTTAAGGAACTAAATCTTTAGGTTCTCTTAATAAGCATCCCGGCTGCCTCACCAGTAAAAACTGACTGCCACAAAATAGCCCATAGTGCTTGATAGATAGATAGTTTATTCTCATAAAACTATGCAAGTACAAAGGTTACAGAGAAGATAAAAACATGCATACAAAATATTAGATGTGATAACATGAAAAAAAAGATAAAATGTTAAACAAAAATAAGATAAATAAAATAAAAATAGATAAAATGTTAAACAAAAATAAGATAAATAAAATAAAAATAGATAAAAATAAATAACATAAAAATAGATAAAAATAAGTAAAATATTTTACACTCACATAAAGTAAATAAACATGTTTAAAGAAATTGTTCAAGTGTCTAAATATGTTGAAATTATGGCTGAGAAGAAGGAGTAATTTTACTGCTGAAAGAGCCAGATTATTTAATTTCTCTTTCAGATATATTGATGATGTTCTTTCCATTAACAATCCGAAATTTTCTGAATATGTTCCATTAATATATCCCCAAGAACTAGAAATTAAAGAAACAACAGACACGGCTTCCTCCGCCTCATTGTTAGACTTATACCTCGAATTTGACATACACAGTCATCTCAGTACCAGAATCTATGACAAACGATACGAATTTAATCTTAAAATTATCAATTTTCCCCACCTTAGTAGCAATATACCAACTTCACCTGCTTACGGGATATACATTTCCCAACTTATTCGGTATGCAAGAGCTTGCAGCTCCTACTCAGACTTTGTAAAACGTCACCAGTGTCTGAGCAGAAAGTTGATGAACCAGGGGTATGTCAAAGAACGCCTCGTCCTTTTTCTTAAAAAGTTCATCGGAAGGTACCAAGACCTTGTTGATAAATATTCCGTATCAACAAATAATACATGCTGGTCTTGAAGTATAGATTCTGCGTACTGAAGCTGTTTATCATCTTAATAACGTGTAAAAGTGTTCTTTTATTTGTCTTTATTAATATTACTTTTACTGTTTGGTCTGTTTTTGGTGATATACATTTGACGTGGCTCTGTATTTATGCATCCCGTCATTGTGTTGTTTGTATTATTTTTCATTTTTTTACTTGTGTGCTTTGTCCGTGTTACTTTTTATGTTTCTTTGATACATATAACGTGTCTCTGTACTTTAAACAATTGTTCTATTATAATTTTTGCATACTTTGAACGACAAAATTATTTTATGTCTCTACCTGTGTGACGTTTACATTCTGACGTCAAACACGCTATTCTACGCCAGAGTTAATGTTAAAATTACGATTCGGTCCCAGAGCTTAAAATCCCTCAATCCTTTATGGGTTAATTTGGCATACATAAATAAAAGACAAAAATAAGTAAGCAATGAACGAGGTTGTTAAATGTAATATATGCATTTTTGTGCTTCTTTGTTAAATATTTGTTCGTTTTTGTTGTGATTAAGTTTGTGACACGTTTTTGACTGCTGTACCCCTATTTTACATTTTTACCTATCATGTCTGTTTGTTTTATTCACGCATCGTTGTCGATATAATGGAATTAGATGCGACTGTCATACAAGTGAGAGGTTTAGCGCCATAAAACCAGGTTCAATCCACCATTTTCTACATAAGAAAATGCCTGTACCAAGTCAGGAATATGACAAATGTTGTCCATTCCTTTGATGTGTTCGTGCTTTTGATTTTGCCATTTGATTAGGGACTTTCCGTTTTGGATTTTCCTCGAAGTTCAGTATTTTTGTGAGTTAACTTTTTAAACAACAATCAATTAATCAATTTTTATGTAACTTTGATGGCACTAATTGTTGTGTGAGGAACGATAATACAAGATTTATTAATGATTATTATTATGTAAAAAATATTGATTGATTGATGATTTTTGATGTTGAATGCCACTTTTAGCAAGTTTTTTTGGGGGAAGAAAACCAGAATACACAGAAAGAACCACCAACCTACAGCAGGAAACAATATTTTTATCACATTCTTAAAGTTCTTTGCATTGCTGTATAAATGATCGGAATAGAAATTATATCGGGTCAATATGTGCAATCCAGAATATTAGGACTTAAATTGTTAGATTAATGAAATGCAGATTTTTACATGTCATGCACTAGCTCTAGTATGCAGGGTTCAAAGAAGTAAATTTGGTAAGGGTCTTTTTTTGGCCCTGAATGTTAGATCCATTGTTTCAAAATATAAAATGTTACAAGTTGGTTAATAGACATGTAAGAAAGTAAAATAGAACTATTTTTGCCTAGTTTTTCTTTTATAGCTTTGACATTTGCATCCCAAAAAGGCAAAACATCAGGATTTTGGGGAAAACTGACAAAATCGTCCAGATTTCACCAATCCTAGGAAACAAAGAGACAAAGATTTGACAACCTAAATTTTCAAGTTTGATTTGTTTTTGTTACTAGTATATCACAAATAATGCTAAAAGATTTTTTTTGTCGACGCATGCGCTGCATGTTTCTTAAAACTAATAAGAAACCACCTGCTTTCATTGAATTGCTAAGAGAATCAATATTTGGGCTATTTGTTAAGTCTGATTTGTACATTTTCAACTAAAAGACCTTCTATTTCCTATCTAGTCTTATTTGAAATTTTTGCTAGAAACAATGACCATATTATGGCCTTCTTAAACCTACTCCTTTTTACTAGTTTGACACTGTTGTTGGAAAACAGGGTTGGGGGTATCTTTCTAGATAAAGGTATACAAAGAGGTGCCGCATGTATGGATCACTTTTTAAGAATGTCAAATATATCAAACAGGTGCAATGTCAGGAAGGTTATATAACAATAGGTAGAAATTTATATATGTCAATGGGTCATAAATGTTCATTTTCTTCTAAGTTGTCCGAAAAAGCTGAGTACTGATCTGTTTATGTAATTAATATAATTTTTGTATGCGTTTAACATCTGATAAGGATGTCAAATACAGGTTTTTTGTCTAGGTGGAAATATATAAGTGGGTTAGGATTTCCCGCTTTGAAACATATGTATTGTAAGTATTTTCCGCAAAAATCAATATATAAATGGGGGAGAGAGGGGGGACATTTTGACATTTGTACTCAAAAATTTGAGGTCTCTGTGTCATTGTGTGTGTTGGGACAAGTTAACTATGTCTCAATTTTTATTCAAAAAAAAATCTGGTTTGTATACCCAGAGTTATTAGAATATATTCATATTTGATGTAATATTTATGTGCCTATGGATATTCTCATACAAGTTTTACGAGACATTTTACTAACTTCTGATTAGATGTCTTCCAAATTTTCATTTTATTCTGGCAACAATTTCAATATGAACAAAACTGGCATAACATGCGCTCTAGGCGCAGCTGATTATATAGTATGTTTAATGAATTAAAAATTTCTTTAGTACTACTGAACACAGAATGACTTTACAGTTGGTCAACAGCTTAATAGTGACGAGTTGTAACGCATGAGCACTTTCGTGTATGTCACACATCTATTTTCTATTATTTTCTGATACTTTGAATTTAAAGTTGGGTATGAGTAGTAGAACAATGCTTGTATTTGTTTTGGAAGTTTTGCCCTTGGACAGATGAAATATGTGCATCGGCCAGGGACATTGGAATGGAGTTATTTTTTTATGTTTTAGCTTTACCTTATTTGTTTTATTTTACAGATCAGACTGTAAAGATTTAGACTCTAACCTGGCCGCTGTTCCAGATATTGGTTCCCTTCATGCAGTTTCTACAATAGCTAGCTTTCAACACTTCGATTCCTGGGTAGGATTTTTAAGGAAAAACAAGGTAATGAATAGTCGTTGAAACAAGAAGATAAGGGCCTTATTTATAACAAACAATTTACGCACGTGTTATGTTTATTCATTAAATAGAATAGAATGTCAACATTTTTATACCGTTAATACGATGATTTTCATATATTTCAAGTCTTCAACACGAAAGCAAACAGACATAGACCGTTCGTTATTATACGATTACACGTGCTTGTCTGTCTACTTATATTTTTATATTAGTTTATATCAGTTTAAATGACCATCAGAAGTCTTCGGAGGTTTATTTTAATTATATGGCGTATAGTCTAAAATATGTATGAATTTGTAATACAATATAACAAGTTGCTAATTATTTTTTTGGTTATTTTTGTAATTTGGATATACGTTTTAGAATGTTATAAATCAAATATGAGATCTCTGGTCAAATCGGTGAAACTTGATTTGAAAGTTAATGTCTCTTTAAAAAAGAGTGATATGTGTTTATAATAACCGATACTATAATATGTGAGTTTTTGAGAAAAAAGTACATATTGACACCTGGAAAAATGTTGTCTGTTTAAATATATCTCTAATTCAGAACTAATTTTTTTTTCAGACATTCTTCTTTACAAATTCCTCGGAAGCTATTGGAATTGATAGATATATGCAGCCAAGTAAAACAACCGAGTAAGATAATAGGTCTAGTTATTGCACACCCACATAACCATTTATTAGAAGGTATATATCATCAAATAGCTAACTGTTACAGCAAATATACTCTAGTTTGTACACAGATTAAAGAAGATACATTTTCATTGTAGACTATAAAATCAACACAGTATTACCTTTGTTTACTAGCTATTTAAAAAGTAACAATTTTTATCATAAGGCAATCATACATGGGAACCTGTTGGACTAGATGTTTTTAGATTTTCACTAGCTAATACATAATTCATGGCTAATCAAACAACCTTACAAGATTTAGGAGTTTGAATCATGAATGAATACACCATATTACTTGTTCGTCAAAAATCTTTTAGGACAGTATGACCCATAAGAATGAAAAGACATGTAAAACGTTCCTTATTTAGTATGACAAAAATAGTGACATCAAAACGCTCTAATTTCTTATTCAATGTTATAAAAAATTATCAATGACATATAACGGGAAAACACATCCAAAATTTAGAGTTATATCCCCTGGAACATTAGATATTCCCTTTTAAGTTTGATATGCACTAATTTATGGCTTCATTGCTTTCTATGTTAAATTCTTCAATTTCAAGCAAGCATAGCCCTTTTGTTTAAAGTTCAAATAATGTGACAATCATTGCATGTCAAAGCAACACCTTATTGTGGCATGTGCTGAAAAAAAATTAAGGTACCTTTAATTGCCTTTAAGAACGTACTGGTTCTCGCAACTTTGGAAGTACCAAACAGGTGCTTTAGCTCTAAGAACAGGTAAAATATGACCTCCACAATTAAATTACAAAATAATCAATCATTAAGTATCTGCCATGTAGTTGTCAGTTTATTATTTCCTCATGAGGTTGAATATCCCTTTGGTATCTTTTCTACAATGATCCTAGGTCAGCTTTCATTTGGTACCAAAATAAGCAATATATTCCAATTATGTTGAATGTACACCTATGCGTAGGAACCGTTTTGTTTTAAATATGTATTACTTGTTGGTATGTTCTTTCTGACACGGTCCGAATAAGTGGTTTTAAATCTTAGCCCTACCTGTTATGACATAATCTACCACGGACAACACCTAATCCTGTTGTTTAACATTTCATTTCAGTAACTTTAACCCTGCCTGTTTGACTATAAACAGTACAGTTAGTTATGCAGAAAAAGGCCTGTATCCAGATAGCTGTACAACTCCAAAACCATACATCTGTCAAAAACCTGAAGGTATGTCTGAACATTAACTCCAAAAATTTATACAGTAATTATAGTTACTAGGACTTGAATTTTTTTTTTTAGGAGATATTTGTTTAACAAAAGGGATTGAAGTCCTAATCATTAATCAGAAATTGCTCACCTATCGAAAACGTTCATGTTTGCGGAAGCTGCACTGTGTCAAAGTCTAACTTTAACAAGAGAACATAATGATAACGGATAACGAAGTTAATTCAGAAAAATTGAATTATTCAAAATTATCTGTATTTGTATTTACAATCATTCATTGAATACAATTGTGGTATTCAATCATAACACTTTTAATGTATTACAAACTAGCATAATAAATCAGGTTTAACTTACCTTAACTATTTGGTAAATTAACCGCGGGATACAAAGTTAAAAGTTGTAAATTTAGTAAAGTGTTACGGCAAATGAGCAATACAGAAAGTGTTATATGTTTAAAAAACGGAAATGCCTGAATAGATCAAAATACCTGTTTTTCACGCCATTCGATTGGGAAATTGCATAATTTGACATTAAGTGAAATGAAATTTAATTTAGAAATTTGAGGTAAAATACACTTTCCAGTTCTTTTGGGGCCTTATTACGAAATTCCTTTGGTATAGTCTGAGTGAGTTTCTGAACACCTGACTAGTTATTGCTATATCTCGTGTGGCTGAAATCAAAGATTTAGTTTACATAAGTATATTTTGAAAACTGACAGGATATTAATTTTTTTTATGGAGTGTCTCAAATTTTAATGATCAGGGTTTGAACTTGTGTTAAACTTTATATTAAAATAAGGAGATGTTGTATGATATTGCCAATGAAGTAACTATCCACCAAAACCAAACGAAGTGAATGTTTCCAACTTTACTTCAGCTACGGCGTTCCAACAATTAGCAAAAAAAAAACCATACCTAATAGGAAGCTATAAAAGGTTTTAGATTACTAATGCAAGTGTATATGTATGGAAAAAGTTTGAATCGGTAGAGCAAAGGATGCTCATACTTAATTACCAAGTAAACTTAAGAGTATCGTTACAGGAGTATGTAAAGCTGGGTATCAACAACATCAGTCAATGTGTTACTATCTGTCGTACTCGGAACAGAACAGAACTGGTGCTGAAACACTTTGTAAAGTCATGAAAATGTCAGTGGTAGATATAACTAGGTAATTTTATACACTAATTCCCAAGTCAACTTTGTTTTCCAACCCATTCCCTTTGTGCAACTTGTTCGTGTCTAATCAAGTAAAGATCTTTTATTTTTTAGAATAGTTAGTTTTCTGCCTTTAACAGTTTAGATTCTTCCTGTAAATGTTTTGATAAAACAAAGATCGATTGATATTCGGTGTTAAATGCCACTTTCAGCACTATTGGCTGTTTTGTGGCAGACAGTTTTTATAGGCAGAGGAAGTCAGAGTGCCTGGAGAGAACCACGACCTTCGGCAGGAAAATTAACAATCCTGGTCACTTAATTCAAGTCGAATGCATCTGCCAAGTGAGGGGTTCAAACTCATAACTTCATTATTGACAAGCTACATGAGCTAGTGATACAGTAGTTGAACGACTTAGAACATTTGGCAACCGAGGCCTGATAAAACAAGAAACAGCATCTCCACTTCATAGCAGGGTGGACAATCATGAAGTTTTTCTAATTCTGTGTCTCAATTTTGATTGGTTGATAAGCAGAATCCACCTGAGCTGCAGCGTTTTTGATAAACGTTGACTGTCCACATTTTTATTTTTCATCCCAGAAATATTTGTATTCTTGAGAGTCTGTCATTTTATCTATATCTAAGGAAGTAGACCTATGTTAAAGGAACATAACTCTCAAAAAATCAGTTGTATGCTTAACTCAACCATTTTCAAAGATGCATTCTAAGCTTCTAAGTATTGCAGATTATTTAAATTCTTTCATATGAACTGATTAAAATCATTATTGAATCTGATTGTTAAAAAAATGCATACGATTGCCTATAAATGCTTACTACCACTTCATTTGAACTCTTGTAGATAGTTGTCTCATTGGCCATCATACCACATCTCCTCATTATTTAAAGAGTTACCTTTCTTAACAAAGGTCTATTCACTTAAATGACTAGATCGATCAAGACTTGGAGACTATACAATCAGTTTGAAATTAGAAATGTAGCATGTGCATGTAAGAAGAACAGGTATCATTGCTCCAGATGTCCATGGGAGCCTTCCTGTATTTCTTGTCAAGTTTTGTGAGAAGGCGATTTCCAACTTTTAAGAAAACTATTGCCAAATTCCGACCTATGTCTTCATCATCTAACTGTAAATGATTGATTAATCCCAACAATTTTATGTTAAATCATTAATCATGCAATTAAGGTACCTAAAATTGTGCTGTAGCCAATTACTATTGATTCATTTATTTTCGTAGTTACTGATTTTCTTGGATTGTTGAAAATTTTTTTTTTCGTGGATACTTGATTTTGTGGTTTTACCAAAGTCTACATATATGCCTAAAGGAAATTTTTCTTTGCTGAAAAGTTTAATTCGTTGTTCACCAATATCCTCAAAAACCACTTAAATTGGTATTCGTGTGCACGAATAATAATGGATCCACAGAAAATTGATAATGATTTGATTCATTTTAATTGTATAATAAGTAAAAGCTATAAGGGACTGTAAATAAATAAAATATCATAGAAAACAGCTTGAAATGAGGTGAACGTAAAATCCTTTACTGAATAGACTTTCAACTTCGGAAGTTTCAGAATTTGACAACTATGAACCAGGTATTGTATAGTCTAATCTAGAGCTAATGTTAAGATAATCCTTAATCTTTACTAATAATTATGTTTAACCTAGCAGACCTATTCCTTCTCTTGAACAATAATTTTTCTTCAGTGCAATTGTTTTGTCATAGAAGCTGTGTACCGTTTTTTGGGAACATTTCTATTATTGTTGAGGGGAATTTTTTTAAATAGGGTGAATTTTTAACTAGTGTGAAATGGTAAAATGTCTTCAGGATTAACTATCTTGGATTTAAAATGAAACAGATTTTCTAATGTGAACATGTATTAGATGCAAATGAGATGGATCAAATAAAGCTTCAATAAAGTTTTGAATGACTTTTGTAGGAGTTGAAATTGGATACTGTAAAAATGGATATGTTCGTCTTTTTTTGAAAATCACAAATAAACCTTTTAAGAGGAGGGGAGGAAGGGATGTTTTTGTGCATTTTATGCAATCACGAAACAAGCAAAAAAAAATTACTCGCCCTCAAACATTTCTACGTTTACAGTATTTATTTGTGAAACGTTTAAGCCTTTAGATGCTTAGGGTTGTTTCAAAATATTTGTATTGAAGAACAGGCACTTAAAATAATTGAATGGTTGGTGTTTGTATGTCCTCCTCAGAAATCTTTTGAAAATATAATTATTAGTGGATGGGTTTGTTTAATAGGTCATTTGACCCTTTGCATATTTTCATACGTATTATATTATGGAGCAGCCTTTAGAATTATCATTTATGCTTTCATGACTTAATTCTTTGAAATAAAATTCTATCCACAGTGCAAGTAAATCATCATATCTGGTCAGTTTGTTGAAGAAGAGAGATGATATCGGTGAAATATGGATTGGATTGAAAAGTAAGTTCTTTGAAAAAAAACATTCTGGTTACATGTTTATTAAAATATTGGGATGGAGTTAAAAAAAATTAAGCTTGATGCAGTTTTGCCCAAATAGCTTTCGGTAGGTAAGTTAATCTTTTTTATGATAATCATCACATTTTCCTAAAATGACATTGTACTGAGTTCAATCTACTCATTTTTACAATTCAGTATTTATGAAAATTATGATATTTATAATAATAATATAGGGTTATTGCATGAATATTGGTGAATATTTTTCTTGAGTAGATTTGTAAATGCAGGAGCCTGAGAGAGCAACATACAGTCTCTGAGGAATACAATTTTCCATATTCGTGCAATATCCCATTTATTGTATAGCAAAACTTGTAAAACTATTTATAAAATTTTTTTGTCACTTATTACGTCACTAACTCAAAGCTTTATTTACACTAGTGCAATATGATATATTATTGCACACTAAATTTTAGTAACGTTCTTTATGAAATATGTTGTTGCTATTCAACAATATCGGGTTATTGCATTTGTATTGATGATTATTACCCTAAGTGGATTTTTATATTGCATGAATTTGAGAGTGCAATGTATATTCTTCGAGTGAAAATATTTCACCATATTCATGCAGTAACCAATTTATTGTATAGCTAATATAAAAATCAGAAGATGTGGTATAATTGCCAATGAGACAACTCTCTCCAGAGACCACATGACATAAACGTTAACAACTATATGTCAGCGTACGGCCTTCTTACTCTGAAAAACTGTTTAAAACAAATATTTGTCACTGGTGACGTCACTTAATAAAGTATAATTCGCACTGGTGAAATATATTTTATTATTGTAGACTAATGTATGGTAAAGTTCTGTATGAAATATGTTGTTGCTATACAATAACGTAAATTACTTCAGTTTAAAGACAGTAAACAGTGGTAACAAAATATTCTAGTTTTTAGCATAAAAACAACATAATTTTTGGTAGAGGTTTTGGAACAGGGAAAACTAATTTTTTTCATTTGGCTTCAACAAATCTGAACTCAAAAGATTTGTGGTAACTTACATATTATCACGAGAATAGGTAATAATTGGCCAAAAAATAAAGAAGAAAGAAATATGTAAAAAAAGATAATAAAGAATAGAGAATAATGAGCAAAATTAATGAAGAGAGAAAAGTCCCCAAACAATTAAGAAGAACAGAAATGAAGACCCCAGTACTAGTGCTGAAAAGAAAAAAATGAGCAACAAAAACCTTATTGAAGATTGATTCATACCACCTTTCCATGGAAAAAACCCAAAATGACAACAAAAGTCGACAAAACACTATACAGAAAACTAAAGATTGAGCAATACAACCCTTTTTGTAACTGGAGGTGAACTCAGGTTCTCCAGAGGGGAAGGAAGTACATATTCGGAACTTTTTCTATCATGGTAAATAAAAATCAATTCATGTCATTAATAAGGAAAGGAGGTCCGGATTATGGCTTAAAGTTGACCAAAATCAATGATTATGAAATCATAAAGACAACGTAGTGAGAAATTTATGTAAAGTTTTTAATCTTGTGTCAATTTAAAATATCAAAATTTCTTTCATTAGAAATGGTGATTCAATTCCAAATTTTGTTGGTCATTGATTTGCAGGGTCATTACGAACCCTTTGTGAACCTATTCATGAAAACTATAATTCTATGTATTACAAATTAATGTAACACTTACTGTAATGTTGGGTATTTTGTGTTTTGTTTATCTACAACCACGAAATCTTCTAAAAATAGCACCACAGGAATGAAAATACTCACACAGTGTATTTCTTTTTAGAACATGCTAATGAATGGTACTGGCCTAGCACAGGCAAAGTTCCATCAACGAAATACTGGACATACATCTCTCCAAATAGCAATGAAACCTTGTATGACTGTGCTTACATGAATGTTGGTAAGATATAGTAGTGATGTTTTGATCAAAGTTTAAAACATGAAGCTAATTGGTTGGTGCATTCCAACCAGATAATATAATTTGAAGATTATAATTAATCGATATCATGTTCATTTGATTTTGTTCAGAATGTGCATGAAATAATTAAAAAGGAGTAGTCAGTTTAAACTTGCCTTATAATATGATGATGCCTTCAGAATGTCTTAACTTGTTAAGATAATGCCCCTTTGGGCGAGGACGGCACTTATTCATTTTATAAGTTGATAAATTTAAGGTCATAGCAGCTATTGAAAGACTGAAATTTTGGTAATATTTTGGTTTCTAGATGTCTCTGTTGAACCATATGTGCAACTTATAGCTAACTGGATCTGATAATATCCACATGTGATTGAGAAGACTTCTATTGATATCGAGGAAAGAAGGTAAAGATCAAGGTCACAAAATCTATTAATTGACTGATATTTGGAAGAAATGTTGTTTTCATGATGTGTTTAGTAATGCCCGTGGAATACGAAATACCGGTATTCATTTTGGGGTAAATCATAGATTGAAATTGGAGCAAAAATTTGATTTTTGAATGTTAAGTTTTTAGACGTTTGTCCAACCTTGACCAAACTTAGCTGGAGAATGCCACTTGGTTAGAAGAAGATCTTATTGTTTAGTGGTCAGGTCAAAGTTAAGGTCACAGATTATATTAGTACACTGAAAGTCTGGACAGTTTTTTGTTTCGGCACAATAACTGTTGACCCATAAGTCAGATTGTTCCCTATCTTTTGTCGATAATGCGACGTGGGGTAATTGACCCCTTTTTAATTTTATGTCAAAGAGGCAAATGTCAGGGTTACAGCAACAATCAATAAAATGAAATTTGGCTAATTACCAACCATTAGATAAATTTGTCAGTCGTCAATGTACCTGACATCAAAATCTGTGTCGTCTGCTACTGATCAAATTATATGTCAACTCTGCTTATGCACCTATGTTGGTTTTTTTCCTGTTGATTAACAATGCCAAATAAGCCCCTAAATGTACCTTTTCCTTTCTTTAAATATAGTAAGAAAACAATCTGAATAAAACATGTTGCACGTGTGTTGATAATGAACAGTTTTGTTCCATTTCGCGATGCTTTGTAACCTCAGATAATTTTCTATGGAAGTTAGATTACAATGAGTTGTTTTCATTTCTAGTTCATTTACAGTTGTTTCTTACACCTTTAGATTTAAATTATTTATGATAATGAGATAAAAAAATAAAAAAAGAATATCAATTTTATACATAACTAGAAATTTGAATTTGAGAGAGTATAAAGGAAGAGTATACGATAAAAGCATTGAAATTCTTCAAAATTATGTTAATTTTACTTAATTCTTCGACAACACTTAAAAATAAAATTGAGAATGGAAATGGGGAATGTGTCAAAGAGACAACAACCCGACCATAGAGCAGACAACAGCCGAAGGCCACCAATGGGTCTTCAATGCAGCGAGAAACTCCCGCACCCGGAGGCGTCCTTCAGCTGACCCCTAAACAAATATGTATACTAGTTCAGTGATAATGGACGTCATACTAAACTCCACATTATACACAAGAAACTAAAATTAAAAATGATACAAGACTAACAAAGGCCAGAGGCTCCTGACTTGGGACAGGCGCAAAAATGCGGCGGGGTTAAACATGTTTTTTGAGATCTCAACCCTCACCCTATACCTCTAGCCAATGTAGAAAAAACAAACGTACAACAGTACGCACAGTAAAACTCAGTTTAAGAGAAGTCTGAGTCCGATGTCAGAATAGGAAACAAAAGAAAATAAACAAAATGACAATAATACATAAATAACAACAGACTACTAGCAGTTACTGACATGCCAGCTCCAGACCTCAATTAAACTGATTGAAAGATTATGTCTTCATTATATGAATATCAGGCACAATACCTCCTGTTAGGGGTTTAGTATTATACCGTCATAAAATATATGAGAAGAACATAACCCGTGTCATGCCAACAGCTGGTTTTAGAATAAATATGTTTAATTCCGATGCAAAGACCCTATAAGTGAATCAATATTAAAGCCAAAATATGCAATCTTTAATGACCTGACAACAGTATCGTAACTATATCCCTTCTTAATAAGTCTGTTTAAAGGTTTTGTTAGCTTTTGAGGTGAATACTGACATTTTTGTGCTTTGTAAAGAATATTACCATAAAAGATTGGATGTGAAATACCTGAACGTATAAGATGTCTGCATGTTGAGTTATATTTACGAATGATGTCCTTATACCGATGATAAAATTTAGTAAATGTTTTGACTAGTTTATGATATCGAAAACCCTGGTGTAATAATTTTTCAGTAATATATAAAATCTATGGTCTTGTGATAGTGTGCTCGTCGCCTTAAATGCTGATGGTTGTGGGTTTCATTGATGGATAGGTCAAACAATAAAAAAAACGAAAAAAAATTGTATTTGCTACTCCTCCTACAAGTACACAACTTTAAGGAGAAAAAGGAGTGCCTTGTTAGTTTGGGGAATAATATGTCTGAATAGGGTGATATGTCTTCCTGCAGATTGTTATCTGTGAGCTATCATGTTAAAAATCTGACTCATTTTGTCATTCTAGTACCAAGCAGGGTATATTCCTATCTTGTTATTGTACTCTAATGGATGTATTTTTACTGCTGGATGATAGTTAGCCATCAAACAAGCATCTGTAAAAGCAGTCAGATAATGATAAAGATAAAGGACAGGTGAACAAGCCTTAGCTGATCATCACTTAATTTTATAGTTTTGCCTTTACACAAAATGCACGAAAATGAATGTTCCACAAATGAGCTGCGTCGGATAGAAACCGACCTTATGCAAATGAATATGAATACATCTGTTAACCTATTTAAGGTTGAAAAAATCTCTATCCGAAGTATGTAACTTTGATATAAGTTGATATAAGAACCCTACAAAACAGATCAAAATTCATCTTGCGTTTTGTATTTGAATGTTCCAAAATCAATCACAGTTATATACATGTACATGTATATGTGTACTTGCATAACTTCGATTTCTATCCGACGCAGCTCAAATATTATAAATAAATTAGATTTTGATTTCTACTTTCACAGGAGATAATGGTAGATGGAATAGAAACTTTCCATGTTCTAGAACACTTAGAGTTGTATGTGAAGTACCTGCTACAACAAGTTTCACAACTACAACAATGGCTCCACCTTCCACTATTGCAAGTAATTATTAAATAATAGTATTTAAGTTGACATTTCAGCGGTATATTTATATGCGGAAGATTATATCTGATCCTTTTGTCGTTGTTTTGGACAATAAAATATGTTGAAAGAATGTGTTAGAATTGATAAATTCTCTTTTAATTGATAGAGAAACAGGATTTGCACTATATTCTGAAAAGTCCTCATAAGACTCCCAATAACTGTAAACAAATTTCCTTTAGCCTTGAGATGATACTGTTTGTATCTTAGTTTAAATCCAATCTGCAAAATGTTAAAACTAATTTAATTCAAAGAAATTTTATAAATTTGTAAGCTCCAACAACAAGAAAAACAACAAATGCAGCTATAACAGAGCCAGGTGTTTCAACTGTTGTACCAGGTAAGTTAAATGTTAAGTGAGAAATATATTCCATTATATCTCCGAATTGCTAGGAGATGACTTGTTTCAAATTCTTGTAATCGTTCCAACATATTACAATTGACTTCCATTGTTATGATTACAATCTTGCCATCGTGTCACTTTCCAGGTGTTGTTCCTATTTTGTTTTCTGTTTCTTAGTTCTCTTGTTTGGTAAACTATGGAGTCAGTCCTTATCAGTACATGTAATTGACATGATGATTTGATTCAGAGTAATTGGAAAAAATCTTAGCCATTTAAAACTGTATAGCTGCATAAATAATGATACTTTAAAAATGAAAAGCCCCAGAGGTCGTTAACTCAGGTGAAACAAGTTGATCATTATGTGATAATTATTATCGTATTCCTTTATTTTGTATTGCTTTTAGCACTCTATTGACATAAGTATACCTCATGAGCACAAATTTTCTTAATTGTTTTTCTAAAACATATTTTATTTGGTGGGTTGTTTAGTCATGAAGGGTTCTGTAGCTAATCAAATGAACCCACCATACTGATATATAATTTTATTATGAGAGTCATGTCCCTTTTATTTGATACACATATCCTAAAATACTTTCGGAAACTCCTGTCAGGCCGTTTTCAAACGGGTCTCATACTTAATAGAATGTCTTGTCATTCTACGTAATTGATCAAAGTCCATACATTGACATGTTTCGTAGAAGTCACAAACCCTTTTCTTTTATTATACATTATAGTTCCTTTAAACCACTATCCCCTAGAGATCTTTCTATGATCTCTATTTTACCAAACGATTGTGGTATATAGGAATCAAACTGTCCGTCCGTCTGTTCATGTTCCTTGTAAGTACAACTCTTCCTTAACAGCGTAGTAAGTCAACTTCTCATAAACAGCTTAGTGAGCCTGACTTCTGCTTAACAGCTTAGTAAGAGCAACTTTCCCTTAACAGCTTAGTGAGCCTGATTTCTTCTTAACAGCTTAGTAAGCAAACTCCGCGTTGGCAGCTCAATTAGCACGACTTCTCCTTAACAGCAACATAAGCACAACTCTCCTTAACAGCTTGAGGTGCTCACAGTACAACACGTTCAGCAAGTATATTATATACATTATATTGATTAAGAGAAGAATAGCTAGTTGTGTTTGGAGATGTTTGTAATGTTTTTTTGTTTTTCTTTATTAAATGTTGCATCGCACACAAAATAATGAGTTACTGCGAGAAAACCAAGCCTACATTTTGACTTGCCTTTCATTTAGCCATGTAGAAATGTTTTAAATTCGGAATTATTTATGAGGGAGAATTTTAGTATAATTCCTTTATATAAAAGTGGCATATCCTGTATTCATATGAATGCGTTTTGCTCTTTGTAAAGGTGAAATCTAAGCTTTTCATTATTATATTTACTAAGCAGGTCTCTACATTGTTATACATATGACATGTATGAAGGATAACAGGAATTACAAAAAATATTAAACAGTAGAACTAACCACAACAACAACCAACCCCTGACATTGCATGAAACCTCTTAAAAACTAAAAAAATAAAAACAATAAAAAATAAAACAAAAACACATGGTTCAGATAGCCAGGTACGCGCAGGAACACAAAGTGGTGAAGTCAAATCAATTTTCCATGCTCACAAACCTCACTCTTCTTAACTAACGTTAAAATATCATAATCCATTTGGAAAATATAATTCATGGTTAAAAACAAAATTCTATTCCAAAAGTTGCCATATTCTGCCCAGGGCGCAGATAGATAAACCATATATATGTAGATCAATTTATTCATTTTAAAAATTCAATACGTCAGGAGCTGACAGATCATGCTGACACATACGTTTATTGAAAAGCTACAATATAAAAAATAAAAACTAATAACTAACATTGTAAACTACTAACTATAACTTTAAAATACAAAAATCTACAATTGAAAACGCTTAGATCAATGGAAAAATAAAATTGGCAAAAAAGGGGATAGAGATACTAAACTGACTTGACTGGAGTTGTATAAAAATATTGTGTTCATCAAAAATTACATATGATGTAAAAATATATGAGATAATACTGTTTTCGGATTCAAATAAAACATTACAAAAGTTTACACATGATAATATGCACAAATGCCATTGTTCGTTCAATGTAAGCTGTTTGGATATGCTTTCTCGGGATACTTACAACAAATAACATAACTAATTATTTTAACTAGGATATATAGGGCATACTGGCATTATTACGTACATCGTAATTCACCAAGGGACAAGGAGAATGGAAATGGTCTTTGTTATTTTGTTCAAAATTCTTTCAAACCATGCTACAGGAAATATGAAAACAATGTGTAAAACAAAAACAAAGTCGGACTGACTAACATAATTATCAAAAATGCAGATTGCACATAAGGAGGGGTAAATGTAATGATACTTTTGGCATTACATGCCAATTCACATATACAACTATTTATATGTGATATTTTAATCACAGGGCATGTACACACTTTCACGTCAATAAACATGACTATATTCAATTTTGTAGGTTTTATAAACTGATTCATTCATAAGCCAGCCTAGGACCTTTGATGAGTTTTTAAAACAGCTTTATTTGACATTAGCTATTTTGAAATACTCGGGGTTTTTCCATCCTTGATATGAAGGTGTTTTCAAATACTCTGTTTTTTTTAATCATTGTTAACAAATGTCAAGGTCAATAATGGTTTCCACAATAAAGTATGAAAGTAGTTTCAAGAAAAATTCTGGCAGACCTGTAGCTTATTCTTAAGAGCCCAGTACCAAAAGTAAGTTGTACCTTTCAAAAACTTTTGGAAGTTGGAGATTGATGTGAATAAATGAAAACATTGGTCTGTAAAAATTAATATTAATACTTGTTTTTTTTCTATCTCCAAAAAAACTCATTGAAAAACTCCATATTTCTAGAAACTTGTTGTTGTCACAAATCAGCATCAGAAATTTTCTAATTTTTGTCAACCAGTTGCAACGTGGAAGTAAATGAAAGGAATGAGTAAAATTTTCCATTTACAGATAATTGGTATGCATTTTACCATGGATTGTATTAAATACTATTGAAGTTATATCCCTGAACATTAGTTAAGCTTTGTGATTAATTTGCAGAAGGCCTAAAGTAATCAGCTTGCCATGTGTCCGTCCATTCCAAATTTTTCCTCTTTCTTAACTTTCAAACCCCACAATTTTAAAATATAATTATTGCATTGGTTGATTTGTTTTTGTTTTTTATAGCCCAAGAGTGTAGAATGGATCAGATTGGTACGAATTATACAGGAACTATTAATCAAACCAACACAGGCCGTACATGTCAGGCTTGGTCATCGCAAACCCCTCAAAAACATACATTTAGTAAAAGACTGTCTGACCAGAAGAACTATTGTCGTAATCCAGATAATGAGCCATATGGTCCCTGGTGCTATACAACTGATGTAAACCAAAGATGGGAGTATTGTGATACACCATACTGTGATATGTAACACTTTGAATATTCATTTGACCTGAGGAATGTTGAATACAAAAAAACAGTTACACGATTTTCACAAAAAAAATTGATCAAACGCTGGTAACATGTCTAGCAAAAAAGCTATTTCATCGATAGAGGAAAATATTTAGACCATATTTTGGATGTAATGTACTTAGTGTCCTTTTTTTGGTTAGGACTGAGGGATGGATAAATACCCTGCCACGTCCGGTCTGTGTTTATGTTTGATGTTTTTCTGCCTTGTATCGATCTGATGAGTCAAGCCTTTTTCAACTGATTTTTATAGATTGTTCTTATGTTGTGCTGTTACACCACTGTCCCAGGTTAGGGGAAGGGTTGTGCGCTCATAAAAATGTTTAACCTCACAACATTCTTTATGTGTCTGTCCCAAGTCAGGAGCCTGTAGTTCAGTGGTTGTTTTTTGTTCATGTCTGTCATATTTGTTTTTCGTTAATTGTTTTGTTATAAAGTAGGCCGTTAGTTTTCTCAATTGAATTGTTTCATATTTTTCATGTCGGGGCCTTTTGTAGCCGACTATACGGTATGGGTTTTTTCATATTGTTGAAGGCCGTACGGTTGCCTATAATTTCTTACATCAACTTTATTTGAACTTTGGTGGATAGTTGTTTCATTGGCAATCATACCTCATCTCCTCATTTTTATATTGAAAACAAACGACCAAGTGCGCATTATGTACTTTTTAAAACATTCTAAATTTTTCCATTGATAAATTTAGAAATTATTAAGAAAGTCTTTGATGACAGTAAACCCTGAAAAGGGCTTCGGATATACCAAATTTATAGGGTAACATATTAGATTACTATATTTTCAGCTGGAGCAGTTACACCAACAATTACCACTACAGCTACAACAAAAGCAGGTAAGGTGTTATCAGTAAGGAGATAACAACAATTTGAATTTCCGAGGTTAGGTGGTGGTGGTTGTTATTGTTTTCGGATGGAATATTCATTTTCATCTCTTGCCTGTCTAGCGTAAAGAATTCGCGAAGATTTATTAGCACTTTTGTATACAGTTATTTCCTGAATTTAGTTGGGATACTTTAATGATGATCAGGCGTTGATTCGAAATGTATATCATTATGGACTTGTGGAATTGTAGGCTATATCAGTGCATTTCTGTCAATTTTCTTGCTAGACTGGAGTTATTAATTTGCGAAGATTTATTTGCACTTTTGTATATAATTATTTCCTGAATTTTGTTTGATTACTTTAATGATGATCAGGTGTTGATTGGAAATGTATATCGGACTTGTAGGCTACAATATTGTATGTTTGTCCATTTTCTTAAAACACATTGAATAACAGCCTTTTAGCACAAAGAAGTGTAATACAAACTGGCAAATCAATACAAACAAATAACCCTTTACCAACTTTTTAAATAAAACTTCTTCAAATAGTTCATAGTTGACATTAATTTTTTTGAGTTTTTATTAAGCCCCGCCTTTGATAATAGAAAACCCATTATATTTTCCTGTCTGTGCGTCCGTTAGCTGCACATTCGTACATCTTGTATCAGGTTACAGTTTATGTTTAAGGTATTTTAATTGACCATTGAAGTTGTGGTCACATTAAGCTAAAAACTTAGTACACATATATTATGATGCGAACTATAAGGAAATATATGCCAAATTAAGTTTTTGACCTAGATTTTGCGATTCACATTGAAATGTGATAATGCGAGCACAGCACGGTGTCCTATAAATACATGGTCTTTCCTTTATAATTTTAGTTACAACACATGCTGCCTAGACATGGTGAAGTTGTGGTCACATTAATTTGAATCGTATATCGTATGGTATGATACGAGCTATAACAATATATGCTGAATTAAGGTTTTAACCCATATTTAATTTGCGGTTCCCTGAACATGGAAATGTGATAATGCGAGTATATCAAGGTGTTTTATGGACACATTTTCATTTATGTTTAATTTTAGTTACGACAATTGCTGCCAAGACATGGAGTGAAAAATGTGGGTTATTTTGGGAAGATTCACCTATCCCTGATGTTTGTTATCATTTTGATGATCGTTTATCAAGCTGGATGGAAGCAAGAACAAAATGTCAAACGTTAGGTGGAAAGCTAGTTAGTATCACATCAACTCACGAACAGCTTTACCTTGCTGGTAAGTTTTATAATAATCTTTTTTTTTCAAAAATTATTCATAGCAAATTAATAACAATATATGGTTTATCTATTATGTTATGCTATACCGTGTGATGCATATTCACATCCATTGGTCTTTAACTTCCTGTATACGGAACAAAGAGAAGTCTCTCACATTCATACCTGTTTGTGCTGTTCTATATTTTGTTTGAAATTCCATCTAGATAAGCTATACCATGTGATACCTTCTCAAAAACGATAACGCAGCATCTACCTGTCTAGCTATATGCATTAAAATCATTTGAAAGTTATACACATATATCAGATTATAATATTTGTTACTGTTAACTCATTGTGTAAAATAGTTTTATTAGCAACTGAAAAGTTGTGACATTTTAAAACTAGAGGCTCTCAAGAGCCTGTGTCGCTCACCTGTATCTACTGTGGTTTTGGAAATCATGTAAAATAAGGTTAAAATCATAATAAATAGTATAAGATACCCCAATAATGACTGAGACCAAGTTTGGTTTAATTTGACCCAGTAGTTAAATTAAAAGCAGGTCATCCCATTGTAGTCTTAAAATAGTTACTGAAGACCCCTTATTATTATTTAAATTATTTTTCAAGTTGTGACCATTTGAAATTGTTTTTTTTACAATTTTCTCATAGACTTCTGTAGTAAACCCCTATGTTCTATTTTTAGCCATGGCGGCCATCTTGGTTGATGAGTGGGGTCATCGGATGCATTTTATAAGCTAAATACCCTAAGGATGATTTAGGCCAAGTTTGGTTTAATTTGGCCTAGTAGTTTCAGATGAGAAGATTTTTGTAAAAGATTAAAAATTTACGAAAAATTGTGAAAAATTGACTTTAAAGGGCAATAACTCCTTATGAGGTCAATTGACAATTTTGGTCATTTAACTTATTTGTAGATCTTACTTTGCTGAACAATTTTGCTGTTTACAGTTTATCTCTATCTTTTATAATATTCAAGATAATAACCAAAAACTGCAAAATATCCTTAAAATTACAAATTCAAAGGCAGCAACCCAACAAAGGGTTGTCTGATGCGTCTGAAAATTTCAAGGCAGATAGATCTTGACCTGATGAACATTTTACCCCGTCAGATTTGCTCTAAATGCTTTAATTTCAGAGATATAAGCTAAAAACTGCATTTTACCCCCATGTTCTATTTTTAGCTATTGCAGTCATCTTGGTTGATGGCCGGGGTCATCGGAATGAAATTAAGTACATCTAATTCATATATGTTAAAAACCATTTAATACATACAATTCTTATTATTACATTTTGATAGGGCGTTTGCAGAGTAGTATATTCATGTCAATGTGGATAGGTGCCAATTGTCGGGGAGCAGACGAAGGCTGGAGATGGTCTGATGGTTCACCATTCTCCTTTTTCCACTGGATGCAAGGTTAGATCTTTTGATTTGAAAATTTAACGTTCTTTTTATGATTCCATAATTAACATCAATTTGAATTTTTCATAAAATATAATGAAAACCTACTCCTTTTATATCACATTGTGTACCAAATCAACTAAATAAGATAAATATTTAAAAAAAAATCATTTAAGTTGTTGTTTATCTTAGCTTAATTCTGTAAACTTAAATAAATAGTTTGATTTCATGTAGATCAGCCTGATGGTCTTGATATTGGTGAAGACTGTGTTTCTATGGATACTAAAATAGGACAATGGAAAGATCAAGAATGTGATGTCAAACAAGGATTTATTTGTAGAAAGACAGGTGAGTTAATGATATTATAACATTTTTTATAAGTGAGATATGTACATTTCTCCTCTTAAGATAAAATATTAGTCCTTGCACAGTATTTAAGTAGGTCCTTACCATAAAAGGAGATAAATCTTTGTCAGTCAACAGAACGTCTTAAAATAGTGAAGAAATGAAAGCATCATATTTACATTGACTTTGGATATTTTTATTTGAATCTTATGATTAAAGAGAAATGATTTGTTTTTCAATGGGATTTGAGGAGATGTGATGTATATGTCAATGAACAGCAACCAAACTGCACAACAACTCAAGCTATATAAAGATAAGCATATGGTTTTCAATAAAAGTGTCTATTTGTAATGTACCTAACTCTTAATCATTATAAATGGAAAAAGTTGAAATTAATTTAGCATGACTATAAAGAAAATTAACAAAAAATTACTCCCAGAGCTCTATTGCTAGTCTTCCTCCCAAAACTTGAAAGTTAAAATTATACAAAGGCTATCATTAAATGGTGATTTGCACTGTCTTATAAGGTCTTACAATATTCTTTTTCATTTTAGTTGCTGAACCAACCCTGTCGCCATTCCTCCCAACATCACCTGTAATTAGAAAAGGTAATTAAAATGTTAATAGTTTTTAGACTCTTGGACCAAATGACTATATGAGCTATTGCCATCACATGGCATCCGTCATATCTACAAGGATCATCATATAATTTAAACCATTGTGGTGACGTCAGCCTATTCATTTACCGTGGATTCTTTTTCTAGAATCAACGCTTCCTAAATCTGCCGCTGAAATTGACTCACCATATTATATTCAATTGTTTCCTTTGTGTGCCTAATTTCATTAAGTTTGAATTGGCTAATTTACTGATTTCTGTTCACTAATGGAATTAATTCAAAAACTTACCTTTAATTTTTGTAATTTTTATATGCCTTCACTGGGAATCGAACCCTTCCTTGAAATCTGTTATGTGTGACTGACATCAACACACCGACGAAACCTCTCGGCTACCAATGGGTTACACTATAGATGTGTATTATATATATTTAAATGAACATCTGATATACATCGGTTCATCGGACACACATGGCTTGTACCTTTATATAGACACAATATGCAATCGTATGGTATGAGTTGGTAGCCGAGAGGTTAGCATGGTTAAACCCAATGAGTTAAAGATCGGGATTTGTCGGTTTAAGTTCGAATCCCTGTATTCTATCTGTTTTTCCAATTCTTAAGTAATCCTGTTTTTTTTTCTAATTTTGCAAGTTATAGTGGATATTTTTGTAATAATAGCGAGTTTTACCGGGTTTTTTTTAATTATTATTGGCTATTTCACATGTTTGAAACAAAAATGATTACATTCTATTTGTCAATTTTTGTTTTATAAATATAGTATGATTTCATCTGTTTTACTACATAATTTTACAAAGGTTTGTTCGCAAATTCCTATGCGAGAAAATCGTGTTGTGCCTAGAGTGCTAGAAAAATTTCGATAACATACTTATTATATATACTTTATATATGCTTTTTGGTCGGGTTGTTGTCTCTTTTACACGTTCCCCATTTCCATTTTCAATTTTATTAGAAATAATTTCGAATATGTCTTATTTTGTATAAACAGATAGTATTCATATGCCTGGTAATATAAAGATCTTTAAAGGTAGAAGTGTTATATTTGTATTTTGTTAACCAATTAATTGTGATCTGAGATTTATCAATGCATCGTTGGACACGATAACATATTTATTTAAACTCACTTACAATACCTTCTAATTAAGAAAAGGCTTTAATTTTGAAAAGAAATTAACACAATAATTTAAGTTATAGATACAATGGATAAGCGTAGATTCATGAAAAACAAACCATTCGCCCTCCGGGCTCATGGTTTCTTTTTCAAGAATCCACGCTTATCCATTGAATCTATATAACAGAAACCATTGGATGACTTCTTATAAACGTTATGACCCTGAAATGATGGTTTTGACTAATTTTTATCTCTCCTCGACGATATCGAAAATTGAAACTAAGGCATGCTGTTTCCGGCGGCATATATTTTATATCTGTAGGCAGTGGTATAAGCGTAGGCACATTTTTTCGCCCTCTACCTATGTCATGGTCTATTGACGTTGAAACTGTGGCATACTTTACATGTAAGTTTGTAATTAGAGCAGTTTAAGATTAACCTCTAATGGTAAGTCAGTGATATCATTTTCGTGGAGATTATATGGTCCTACCCTGTCATCATGGTTCATTGACTTTGAATATTTGCATAGTTTACATGTTAAAGTATTGCCGTTTTAATTTCAATATTTGCATTATACTATAAAAAATTAGTAGTGAGGTTTTCTCATCACTTAGTGTCAGTCGTATGTCGTCTATCGTCGTCTGTTAACTTTTATAAAAAAATCTTCTCTGAAACTACAATGCCAAGTTTAACCAAACTTTGTAACACTCATCATTGGGGTATCTTGTTTAAAAAAATTATAGTTCCCGATGACCTGCCTTTCAACCAACATTGCCGACATGGCTAAATATAGAACATCGGGGGTAAAATACAAATTTTTTTATTATTTTAAAAACTGCTATCAATAGAGGAATTTGATTGGGGCTAAAGTGTTCAGAATGTTGAGATCTGACAACTGTCCATTTACAGGAAAATTTTCAAATACTTTTTAAAGGAGTTCTCGCACTTAAATGACGTTTTTTTTCCCAGGGCGGGTTTTTGCCATCACTTGGCGTCTGTCGTCGTCGACGTCCGTCGTCCGTTATCTTTTACAAAGACCAGTACCATTTCGTCAGTTCATTTCAGTTATAATCACATCTACTTGAAACTTGGTTTAGATGTTTATTATGATATGAAATCAAACCTTATGCAAATGAATATCAATACATCTGTTAACCTATTTTGGGTTGAAATAAAAAGATGTAAGAAAATATTTAAATAACCAATATTTTGTGAAATACAAAACCAACAAGTTTTAACAAGAAATTTAAGTTAAAATGTCTCAACTTTAAGTTAGGCTTTTCCCTTTTCTTGTTTGTTATTGTTTTCTTTAATATGTTTTCAATTTAAAAAAAAAGTCATTGCACTTCAGAAAACTTCTCTGACACTATATAATACACAGTGTGTCAATGTTTTAAAAGTACATGAGTGAATGATATATTTGTTACTTTTTATAGTCTTGTATTTCCTTTTACGACGAAGAGGATAAGTGTGGGTGCTTGAAACAATTGAAACTTGAAGGAGATAAAACTTTAAAACTAAAACAAAAAATAAAGGATTTTTTTTAAATTTTATTTAGCAGTGTTTGGAAAACTATGAGGAAAATATCAACAATTTATAAGGAAATATAAGTTCATCAAAAAGTGATATGATCCAGTTGATAATTAAGGTCACTTGACATTCTTAGTGCATTTAGTCATCAAATATTGCAAATGTCTCAATATACTTTGTATGAAGCCACTTTGCCATATAAAACACAAATGTATTTTTTATGAATATGCAGTTTAAAAGTTATATATGTTGAAACTGCTGTCCAATGAAGTCATTAGAGCATTAGGCAAGTAAAGCACACACTTTAATAATTTTTCAGCAGTTAATAAGAACAAAATACTGGAAAAAATCTTGCATAACTTCTTTTACCCCTTTATCAAGGTGACTGGGGGACATTGTTAATTTTCTCCCTTCCTCAAGGCAACTGAGGGACATATTTTATTCTCCCCCTCTTCCTCAAGCCAACTGAAGGACATAGTTAATTCTTTTCCCCCTTCTTCAAGAAAACTGAGAGATATAGTGAAGTCTTTTTCACATTTCTGAAGGCAACTGAGAACATATTTAATTCTTTATTCTCCTTCCTCAAGGCATTTGAGGGACATTGTGAATCATTTTCCCCGGCCTCTAGGCAACTGGGAGACATAATTGATTATCTTTCTCCTGTCCCCAAGGCAACCGAGGAACATAGTTCATGCATTGTATGTGTCTCTGAGTGAACAATACTCCTCTACAACTGTTTTCTTAAAAACTGTCATATTTTATATGGTTGTATATCATCATTTGTAGCTGAATATTCTGTATGACTTTAATTTGACTTGTTTTAGCTCACATGGTAGCGTCAACAATGTGTCACTCCACGGAGATTATTTGGCCCTGATTCATCAGTATTGGTCTTTTGAATTTAAAACAATTGCTTAGTTTAAATATTAAAGTTTGTGATTAGATCAGTTTATCGGAAACAAGATATGCCGAGTCAATGATATTAAGGTTAAGTATGCAGTTGTATAATTAATGGCGCATTTATTTCTATTGAGATTTGCTGGCTCAGTCTTCTCGGTCATGCTCTATTGACTTTGAAACTTTTCCATAATTCAGATGTAAAATTTGTGATTAAGTCAGTTTACGGGGAACCACTTATGAAAGTCAATGATATTTGGTATACAATTGTATTACAATTAGCTCATATCATTTTTACACAGATTAATTAGACCCTCCCCTTCAATCATGATCAGTTGACTTAGAAACTTTTTTTTACAAAGTTTACATATCAAAGTTTGTAGTTAAGTGTGTTTAAAATGAACACCCAATGGTAAGCAGTGAATTTTAGTATGCAGATATACATGTATTAACATTAGCACATCTCATTTCCATGAAGTTATTTTGCCCCCTCAATCATGGTTCATTGACCGAAACTTTTGCATAGATAACATGTTTGTGATTAGGTCAGTCTAATTGAACACAACTTATAATAAGTCAATGACTTTTGGTATTGACTAATAACTAATAACATCTTTTCAACCATATACAAATCATTATTGATAAATTATCATAGAATACTTATAAATGAAGTCTTACAAGGTCATATCGATCTTAACATCAACTGAAAAGTCTGAATATTAAATGATAAGTCATGTTCAGTCTTTCGATCAGTTTTCAGACTTGTCCACTTCAGTACATTCAGTAATGTTCAGACAATTCCCTTCCGGTCAATTCAATATTATTCAGTAGCTTTTAAGACAATTCAGTGTTGTTATTGTGTATAGGTAAATTTTAACTACTGAACAGATCTTACTTGACTGCAAGCGAATTGTCTTATCAGTACTGAAGTTGACCAATTCGCAAAGTTTGAACAGAGAAATGCGGTGCAATGAAATTGACAATATTCTTAGTTGAAAGTTCCTTTATCTATTGGTCACAGGCATTCAGTTGAATTATCCTAGGCATATCTTATTTCCATCGAAATTAAATTCCCCTATACCGTCAGTCATGGTTCATTGACTTTAAGTATTTTGTATACTTTTACTTTGTTAAATATATTCATTTTACTATCAAATTTACATACAGGTAAGACCATCTGTGTGTTAGTATGATTTTTCTAATTATGATAACATTTAAAATAGAAAGAGAGAAAATGTAAACAGTCAAAATGATCATCAATGCAAGATTTAGAAATAAGCAAACATAATTGATTGCAAGTAAATTAAAAATCAATATAAGAATAGCATATATTTACCAGGTCAGCGTTTCAGGCTCCCAGGAGCCTCTTGTTAAAAAAAAGAAGATTGAAAAAGAAATGTTACTTTTCATAGCATAAACAATACTGATCAAAAGACAGAACGAATGTAAATATTTAGATGCTTAAATTAAGTTTTGAAGAAGAAAAAAAATCTTAATTTATCATCTTGTATAAAAAAAAAAGTAAATAAGCGTGGTATGGGTCACAGTAATTTGCTGTTTGATTTTTATGCCCCACCTACGATAGTAGAGGGGCATTATGTTTACGGTCTGTGCGTCCGTTCGTTCGTCTGTCCGTCTGTGCCGCTTCAGGTTAAAGTTTTTGGTCAAGGTAGTTTTTGATGACGTTGAAGTCTTGAAACTTGGTACACATGTTCCCTATGATCTTTCTAATTTTAATGCCAAATTAGAGTTTGACCCCCATTTCACAGTCCACTGAACATAGAAAATGATAGTGCGAGTGGGGCATCCGTGTACTATGGACACATTCTTCTTTAAAAATCAAATGGTTCCTACCTGAATAGTTGCTACAAGCCCTAATGGATTTTAGTCTCATTTTCAGGGGTTTGTGAATTAACAAATTTCATAAATTTTAGCAGTACGACAATAAAGTAGTGTCATTCTTTGAAAAAGCGAGCTTGTATTTTTTTTTATAGTTTTGTGGTAGTCAGTAGTACATTTCAGTTTAAGGTGCATTGTGGTTGACCTATATTTTTTTCCCGTATAATGCATCTGTAACTTCAGACATTTTCTTTAAATGCACACATATTCTATCACCCAGTAAATACTGTGATAGATGTTATGTATATTCACAGAGACAAATAAAATAAATCTACGCCTGTAACCAGTTAGAGGATTGATGGAGACATGATGTATCTTTTTTTTCAGATCAACTGAAATTTTTCGTGATTTGTTGAAATAGACTATTTGCAATGATTCAAAATTTCTCAGCAGTTGGAGGATTATCCTAGCTTTTCTTTAGTTTTGAACAATGCAAAGTAAAATGTTCAATGCTTAAAGGTGCCATTGTGTTAGTCGAAAGAACATCTTGTGAGAATGATGAAGAGAACTCATTTAGTTTTGTTGTATGACATTGGTTCATACACTATCAAAATGGGATATGTTTTATATGTCATGCAAGATTATTGGTTTAAAATTTGCATTTTGTTTGCTATGTGGTCTCTTTTGGTATAAAAGTCCAGAAAGAAAAATTCATTCAATGAACAAAAGAATTTTCAGATTATGTTAACATTGCATTTTGTCATTTAAGGTCAAACATATGGTTGTCCAGATGGATGGGTTAGTTATAGATCGATCTGCTACTTGTTTGCCAGAAACAAAACCACATGGAGTGCTGCCAGATCTATTTGTAGGAAAAATGGCGCAGATTTAGCTTCGATTGCAGAAGAAGAAGAACAGGATTTTATTACAAGCCAAATCCCTAAAAGTAAGTGAGGTAAATCGAGGCCTCAATTATTGATGGGGAGAAGGCCTATACTTATCAAAACAAATCCTTTCAGCTCTCTTAATCTTTCAAACCCCTTACAGTTTTGTAAAGAATTTGACATTTTATCCATCACTACTAGAAGTTGTTTATCAACTTAATTACGTGAAATAGTGTTTTATTTGTCTTTGTATTTTTAACCTTTACTGTTTAGTCCGATTATTGGTAATATACTTTTAGCGTGGCTCGGTATTTATATGTCCCATCATTGTGTTAATGTTCTATGGTCATTTTTTGTATTCTTGTCATTCATTTTTGCTTATGTACTTTGTTTATAGAGTGTCTATATGCCATTTTGTTTTTCCATGGTGAAATAGTTATTTGTTTATATAGTGATTAAGATTATAACACAATGATGACTGCTGTACCCCTTTTTTTGACAATTTTACCTATGATGTCTGTTTGTTTTGCTCACACGTTTTTGTGAATATAATGGAATTCTATGCGACCGTCATACAAGTGAGAGGTTAAACTAGCTATAAAACAAGGTTTAATCCATCGTTTCCTACATGAGGAAATGCCTGTACCAAGTCAGTAATATGACAGTTGTTTTCCATCCGTTTGATATGTTTGAGCTTTTGATTTTGCCATTTGATAAAGGACTTTCCGGTTAGAATTTTTCTTGGAGTTCGGTATTTTTGCTCTTTTACTTTTTGCATACATTGAAGAAAATCCTAGAGTAAATGTCAAGGTCAATGACTAAAGTTTCACTTAGTCATACCCTGTGCATATGTAGTAAAATCATTTCTACTTTCTAACTTTCAAACCATATGCAGTTTATGTGAGTTATTATTCACTACTACTTAAAGGTGGGTCGTTTATTCAAGGAAGAAACCATATATAAAAAGTCATGAACAAAAACTTATTTCAACTGAGCCTTTGCTGTGCATATGTACACAATTGTTTCAGCATAAAACCAATTGAAGTTTGAGGTTGAATTAGTGTAGCATTAGTACATTTCTGCCTTTCACAAGTATACTATCTATACCATTAAGATATATTTAAATCAAATAACCCATCACAATTTGTACTTGTAAACTCGAGGGGAGTCCTTTGTGATGGTATCCAATACTCTAATCTCTTATCTGTGAGGCTTTAATATGAATGCATAAGGAGGAGGTTCAAAGAGGCAAAGCCCCCGGACGGAAAACGGTTTTCAGCGTGTTAGTTACAAAATACATAAAATTTACTGGTCATTTTATCGCAACAATATACATGAAAAAAATTTCGATGAAATATACATAATTTTACAATAACATCTGACTAATGAATTAACCGGCAAAACAATCGGAAATATAAAATAAAAACAATATTTATATAGCGTGGATCAGCGTAGCCCCTTATTAAGCAGCACAACCTGTTTAGTATTATCATATCTATTCCTTTCTGATTGAGGATAATTGATATATACGTCAATTGATAGTACATATTGACGATCCTGCGTTAAAAAATTAGGCACGTAAACACTGAGACTACTATATTATACTATCATTTGGACAACGCATCGACCATTCATCTTTTGATTCTTAAACCTTCACCCTCTCCCGGACACACAAACACATACACACAAACAGTCGATATCTCATGCAGAAGTTCTGTTCTGTTATTCTATCTAACAAAATTAAAGAAATTCATATTTGCTGATATCCTGTCCTGTTAAATCCCTATCTGCTTAGGAATGTGAATAATTATGGTCATTACATGTAGATCTGAGAGTAATAGAAGTTACTGAAAGATAGTTGATTGATTGATCGATTGCTTAACTCCAGTGGCAAATAGTGCATGTATGTTCAGGACAAAAACAAATTTTCAATAAATACAACAGGTAGCTAGGTCCTGTTATAGGGGTCGTCTCGGATGAAGGTCTGGAAATTTGAAAATGCCATTCATTGGAAAATGTGGGTTTATTGTATAGAAAAAGAAATTTTGCCTTTCAGTAGACCATCTATGAACCCCTCGGAGTTGTTTCAAGTTTCTTACCGTGCCGAGAGCGTGGCATTCTCTCTACACTAGGGATCGGATTTAACGTACCCATTCTGATCAGACGTGACTGCGTATTTATACATCCCGCATAGCCAAACGGACGCCCAAGTTTTGCAAGGGTTTTATTGTAGGTCGGATGAAGACCAAGTGGAAAGCTAGTTGAAAGCCAACAACAACTAATTAAAAAAATCGTGTATCTAAGAATAAAATGTCAGGGTTTTGAGCAAGTTGAGGTTCATTCAAGTATTTGTTGATAGAAGTGAAATGATCTGAACATAAGTTCTAGTTTATAGTTTCTCTATAAGGTGAAATATAATGACGTACAATTATATCCAATACGCCATTCGCACTTTTAATAAAAACACAAAATTTGTGAAACTTCACGTGCATCTATATACAGATAACGTTGTTTATTATTTTTTTTAATAAAATATTTGTGAAAAAATTATGTGTACACACGTGCCTAAACTGCTTAACGGCAGCTACGCCCCTGGCATAAATGGTAAATAGTGTGATATATATTATAAGATTAAGCTAAAGAGAATGTTAGAAGAATCCAGTATAAATAGAAAGGTTTTGTCTAAAGGTCTGATATCTATTTTTATTTTACTAACATAAAAAAGAATGTTTGTGTGTGATGAAAATAATGTCAGGAGAACACAGTTATGCATGGATATTGGTTTTGATATGACTTGAGAATATAATCTATTTATAGATTTCTTTCTTTTTAGCTCATTGTTACAACATGCATTTGAATGATACACAGTGTGATTTATGGAGTGATCAAGGAGAATGTCGGACAAACCCAAAACGGATGGCAAGGTTATGTCAAAAGAGCTGTAATTTGTGTTTTGATGATTGTAAAAATATCCATTATTCTAAGGAGTGTGACCACTGGGCTAGTGTTGGTGAATGTGACAAAAACCCAACTTATATGTTGAAGAATTGTCCATTGTCATGTCGAACTTGTGATTCAGGTAATGTTGTATGCTTTTATCTTAATGATGCGTCTTTTGCCTGACTTGATTGTTATTTGGGAAAATATGCCCCGCCATGACAAAGCCCATGTATGCTGATACAGTGTTATTCTGTCATCAATCAAACTTCAATCAGAATATGTGAACTCATGCAACAACTTCAATGTAATCCACCAATTAAAAAAAAACATTACTATGTTGTATCCGTAATGTTTTTAAGTTCGCCTGTCCAAAAGTGTGATATTTTGATCACTAAAATGTATGATTTGTGATATCTGTTGATTCATTGGCATTTTTATCTTTTTGATCAAGATATTGGGCCTACTGAACCTAAATAATAGCAGAAATGAAACAGGACTGGATGAGAAAATGTTACGTTTGTTTGAGTTCCTTTTGAACCTATTTATAATCTGTATACGCCCGATTACTGGACGTATTATGGTATACCGTTGTCCGTCCGTCTGTCCGTCCGTCGTCAACATGTCAGACAATAACTCCGCAACGCTTTCACCATTTTTTTTTTGAAACTTTGGTGAATTGTTCATATCTATATAAGACGTAAGCTCCCTTTCGATTTTTATAAATTTAGGATTTAAGTTTCCGATTTACGGGATCTTATTCATAAAGAATGGGGAATTTTCCAGTTGTTTGACTATAACTCAAAACGCTTTTAACAATCTTCATGAATCTTTTGTGAATTGTTTATATATTTTGACATAAGTTCCCTTTCGATTTTTTTAAATTTCTGATTTTATGTTTTGGAGTATTGGGACTTTCTTCTTAAAATAAGAGGGGGTTCCAGTATTTCGGACAATAACTGATAAACACTATTTAACAGCTGTCATGAAATATTGGTGACTTGTTTTATAAAGTATTGAAATAAGCTCCCTTTTGTTATTTTTTTATAAATTTTTGATAATACATTGCAGTGTTATGGAACTTTATTAGTTTGATAAATTGTCGAAAACTGTCCAGTTGTCGACGGGCGTATCATGCGCTCATGGCACAGCTCTTTGTTTGTTTTGTTCTAAACATGTAATACGTAGAACAAACAATATAACTTTGAGATGAAGAACATCATTAAAAGTGCTATTTCTTTGCGTCTGTGTTAAACTACGTGTGTGTGTGCGCGTTTTGTGACATGGACTAATACAACATATATTAGGTTTCCAGTATAGTGTTTATTATGCAGAATATGAAAATAATGTCAAAACACGCTTCTTGTAGTTTTTTTTTCTAATTTCAGCTATCTTTAGTGGATTTTGGATTGGGTTAAGTGATGATACTGTAAATCAGATGAATTTTAAATGGTCAGATGATAGCACTGTCAAATATACAAAATGGGCAAAAACTAAGCCCAACAATTGGAATGGTCAGAAACGGGGGATTTGTGTTATTATGCTTCTGAAGGTGTGTATAGTTGTATTGTCATTTGCTCATTGTAATTCTTTTGGTTTGTACTGTCATTTGCAAGTTAACTGGAAGTTTGTATGGTCATTTGCAAATCATTTGAAGGTGTGTACGTGTACAGTTAATTGCTATTCATTGAGTTCGAAATGTCTTTTGCATGAAATCTGAAGGAATAAACATGTATAGTCATTTGTAAATCTTCTATATCTTTCCCTAGCGATATTTGAGGTTGTAGCAATGCAAAAATCCATATAAATGATGAAAAACCAATTAAAGTCCTACACAATTTTCTTGAATAGTGTTTTATATTCAAAAGCGTTGCTGTCTCCTTGTTATATACCCCTTATATCTACTTATGTTGAAAGACTACAATAACTTATTCTTACTTTTTTATCACTCAGAATGGAATACAGTATATATTTTTTGTATATATTGATATATTATGTTGTTGCGTTGCTATCTCCTTGGTATGTACCCCTTACATTTCCTTATGTTAAAAGACTACAATAACTTATTCTAACTTGTTTATCACTCAGAAAGGAATACAGTATATATTCCAGTATATATTAATATATTATGTTGTTGCGTTGCTGTCTCCTTGTTATGTACCCCTTACATCTCCTTATGTTAAAAGACTACCATAACTTATTCTAACTTGTTTATCACTCAGAATGGAAAATGGAATGATGTTCTTTGTGACAAGGCCAATGCAGGATTTATTTGTAAGAAAGGGAAACAGGTTTTAGATGAAGTTACACAGTCACCACTAGCTGTCGGTTGTGTCAATGTAAGTTTAGCGAATATGTGTTTTACAAAGTACACATCCACTATTAAGGAATGACAGTACTGTATTTCAAAAGTTGCCTTCATCAATGGGGGATTTCACTGTTGTAAATACAGTTTTACTGGCAACGTGCCTGTGCCAATGCCTTCGACTGTTAACAATGTAATAAACAGCAGACATCATCCCGTAAAAAATGGAGATACATGATATATTGCATTAGAATCTTCATTATTTGATTAATAGTTTTACTTAAAAACAATAACTGCATGTCCTGTTATAGGTACAGCTAACGCGAAATATTTCGTTCATAATATCGTTAATTTTAGCCTCCAACCAGAAATACCAAAACGATTACTTGAAATATATATAGATAAAAGAGCATGTGACCCTACATTAATAGCAAATGCAATGAATTCTGTTCAAGCAAAAGCCATGTAGGACTAATTTTGTCTGGACTAGACTGGTGTCTTGCATAAGTTGGATAATTAAGAAATATTCTTCATAACTTCTGTTTGAAATGGTCAGTTTAAACAGGTTTAGGATTTATGGATTATTTTGACAATCTGTTATATCCTACAAATCACATCTCGATCCAAGATCTGTGCAGCTTTAGAAAATACATAGGACACCCTTCTTTTATTATATCCTGCTCCAAAGGAGGAAGGGTTTACTGGTTTACTTCTGTCCGTCCGTCTGTAACTCATTTTGGTCCCAGTTTTCTCAGCAATTACAAACTAGAACTTCTTTATATTTGGTACCAAGCTTCATATTGGTAAGTAATACTATATGACACATAGTCGGATCGTCCCTATTTGCCGAATACATGTATGTTCTTCAGAATGATCCACATATAAGAACTATTTTTGTCTCAGTTTTATCAGCACCTACAAGTTTTAGCTTTGACTCTTAAACGTTTACAAAGTTAGCATGTTGAAGTGTATGATTAGTCAACGATATTTGGTATGCAGTGGTAAAAGCAGTAGCACAAATCATTTCCATGTAAATTATTCGTGACAGCCCCCTCAGTAATGGTCAATTGAATTTGAAACTTTTGCATAGTTTACATGTTAAATATTGTAAATAGGTCAGTATGAGGGGAACTCTTATAATAATTAGTTAATGATACTCGGTGTGCAGCTGTATAATCATGACATATCTGATATCTCAGAAATTAGTTGGCCCTGTTCCTTTAGTCATGGTTCATAGACTTTGAGTATTTTGTATAACTTACATGTTAAAGTACTGCTGTTTTAATTTCAATATTTGCCATTATTATAAAATAATTATAAACAGAAGAGACTTATCTCTGTGTCAATAGTTTATGGAAAATATTGGTAAAAAATTCAAACTGACATTTCATCAGAGAAACTTTTTCTTTTAACATGCCTCCTATAAACACTAAAAGGAATTATCTTCACTTTGTACGTGGAGAGTCCTTGGCTCTCTCCCAATACGAGACTTCATGTTTAATATACATACAAAATTTATACATAATTTTTTATGCATTCTTTACAGTCATATGGACTTTTCTTTTACATGGGTTTTACTGTGTGATGGCTATTTTTTTTATATCTCAGTAAACTCTTTGGGTTCAAAATAAAAAGCAAGAGCAGGGACATAAATAGGTGAGCAATTGCTCTTACTACATTCATCATTTCTACTAGTTTATGCTAGTATAAACTAATAAAGATGCCTTTATCACAAATTCTTATTTTTTTTGCCATATACTGAAGGTTTCTTACACATACTCTTTTCACTTAAATCTTTCTTTCAGAAAATGATTTTCAACTCTTTTTTCATTTGAATAAGCCAAGTAACTTGTTTATTTATAGAACACCATTGGTTACGATGCGTACTGTTATGGAATCAATAATGAACTGACAGATTGGGCAACTGCAGAGAGTGTTTGTGCTCAAGTTCAATATGGACATCTGGCAACAATAAACAATGTGTAAGTACATCTGTTTAGGTACAACACTGATATATGTCAAAACATAATGACGTGTTGACATGGACATATGGCAACAATAAACAATGTGAAAGAAATCTGTTACCGCACAACATTGACATATGTCTGCATAACAATGTGTCAATATTGTCATCTACAAATAATAAACAATATATCAGTGGTAAATATTTTAAGGCACACCATTGACATCTGTCTACATAACAATGTTTCAATATGGACATCTCATCTGGCAACAATAAATAAGTAAGTAGTAAATATGTTAAGGCACAACATTGACTTCTGCCTACATAACAATGTGTCTATACGGACATCTGTCAAAACAAAACAAAGTGTAAGTAGTAAATCTGTTAATGCCAAACATTGTCATTGGTCTACATAACAATATGGCAATGTGGATATTTGGCAACAATAATATGTGTAAGTAGTAAATCTGTTTAGCATACAGGAAAAAAATTGCAACTATGCTCAAATCTAATTTTGACGTCTTGAAGCAATAAACATTGTGTTACTCGTTACAGAATTGATATGACATCTGGTAATAGTAGCCAATATGTAAATAACAGTCTCAGCCTTATTGTGCATTTTGGAAAAAATGAACAGTAAAAAAAATTGCTCATAATCAAAATGGACATCAGACAAAAAAATGGCATACAAGTAACTGGTCATGATCAAAATAAACATCTGTATAAAACATGGTGTATGATTAACTGCTTATGATCAACATGAATATTTCACAAAAATAAATGGCATATAAGTAAATACTCATGATCAATTTGGACTCTGTAAATCAAGTTGTAAAAGTAACTGCTCATGATCAAAAGGAACATATGTAAAAATAAGTTAAATAAGTAACTGATCATGATCTAAAAGGACATATGACCAAAAAAAATGGTATTAGTAACTGGTTATGATCAAAACAGTTCCTGATTTATGAGTAACTCCTCAACATCAAAATGAAAATCTGACAATAATGAATGATTACAAAATAAGTGGCAAGGAACTGGCAGCAATATATGATGTACTGGTGACTTTGCTTAGGGTCAATATGGACATTTGTCAACAAAAAAATATTAGATTATGTGAAAGTAAATATACCCAGTTTCAGTAATGACTTTTAGTGACAACAGCTTATGTAAAAACTATTATACAGATCAATTCGGTATTTTCATTAGCAAAAATGAGTATGTAAAAATAAACTTTTATGGATGAGGTAATTTCTCCCCTACAAGCTTTAAATGCAAGTTTATATGGAATATTTCATTTTGGGTATGTTATAATCATCGCTAAATGATTTTTTGAACATTGGTGATGACCATATGTTTTATACATTCAGATACACTCAGTTGTTTTTAGCCAGTCAGGTAGCTGGTAAATCTGGACACTATTGGATTGGTCTTACCCAGGATGTTAACTCTAGTGCCATGGTATCTTGGACTAGTGGTCTTTCAGTATCATATACAGCTTGGGCAAAGAGTCATACAGGTAATCATAATTGTTTGCCTGCATTGAATGTGGTATTATTTGTTTGTATGCAGTCAAAGTGGTAATATCCATCTGACTTCATAACAAAAGCTGATCATATGCATAGGATAAGTTAAACAATCATTGTTTCTCATTTGATATCTGTAAAGAATAAATGTGTGAACAAGTCACATGTGAAGAAGGAATTAAGGTGTAACATCGTCAATATTGGATTTCAAGGACGCAAATGCAGTTTAGAGGAATATTTGCAACCGTCAAGTTACCAATTGACAGCTGCATCTCTTCAAATACAGAACTATTATTTCTTTTCTAATGCACTAGTGTTTAAATATTCAAAATAAAATTAAAATTTTCAGGAAAAAACTACTATGCATAATGTTGTTGAAATACAATTGATGGCAGACCTCATCCAATCAAAAGCAGTGGTTCATGTTATATTGCAGTAGAATGACGGTTCAATTGAGACAAGACAACAAAAAGTAGAACAGATTTGAAGTCAGTTGATATATAGACACTCATTAAAGTTGATTCACTCATGATAGGACGAAATCGTTTAATTTAGCCATTCTTTCAAAAGTTATGTCTTTTCTATTGATATTTAGAACTATTAGATGGTCAAAATTTGGACAAACGTTAAATAAATTGCAGGGAGTATTGATGAAGATGCTATGTGTGTTGCCATGACATCAACCCATCCTATTGGATTATGGGAAACCAGAAACTGCACATTACAAAATAACTACATTTGTGAATATCCAAGAGAAGGTTACACTACACCTACAACTTCAACAGTAAAACCTGCATTATGTCCTTCAACATGGAAGGAGTTTAATGGTTATTGTTACAAGGTAAGATAAATCCTGTTTTTTGTTTCAGTAGTTATCTCCTTTGCTATGTTGTTTTCTTTCTAACATCCTTATCTTCATCAACGACCTTTCACTGCAATCTGGAAAATAATCAAGGATAATGGATGAAAATAAAAATAGTTTAGTTTTCCAATAGTTACAGATGAGTGCAGTCCTAACCTGTACAAAGTTAATTAAGAGCAGACTTGTTGACTGCTTTCCAAGTTAACTTGAGAAATTTTAAGCAGACAAGCAAGTTAACTTCGTCGTTGGTAGACCAGACCTATGTCTGCTGTTTAAGGACTGCTGCAGACCTATTGACAAGTCTGCTCCAGACCAGACCTGTAGACAAGTCTGCTATTGACCAGTCCTGAGGACAGGTCTGCCCAGACCAGATTTGTGGACAGGTCTGCTCCTGACCATACCTGTGGACAAGTCTGCTACTGACCAGACCTGAGGTCAGGTCTGCTTATGACAGATTACCGTGTTTAAGACTTTTCATATTAGACATGTTAGACCTGAGCTTTTATTATGTAAACAATAACCGCATTGTTCTTTTTTCCCAGTATAGCCGCGAAATAACTTTAATCGTTAGACTCTATAGATATTATACACATTAAACATTTCGTTTCTTCATTTCATATTCTTATATACATTAATCAATGGCTATAAAATTACACACTTGTGATCACATGCAGCTATCATAAGAGAGAGGAAGGTTTTTTTTTTTTTATTAGAAGGCCGATAGAAAGGTTATCCAACGCATCGGAACAATATTTTTATTTCATAGGAAATAAACATCATCGTTGCTTTGTTCCCCATTTTTTACAGTCTCTTCCTAAATTTGACTCTATGCATTTATACATGGATATTTCATCTTGTTTACCTTGGATTTACGATTCTGTATTCGACAAAATGTTTTAAACGAAAATTGTACAGTGTCCGGATACATAAGGTGTTGTATAATTTAGAAGAATCTCGTCAATTTCGTCAGATTTGTCCTAACCAATTACAAATGATATCTGGGACGTACGAAAAAATATACTCGTTGTGAATATGAATGAAATATTTGCCACTTGACGTTAAGCTACCAACAAAACCAATCAACCGACATAATATACTAACAGTATACTATTCCCAGAAGAGAACTTCTCATACTTTTCATCATAAAAATACAAATGAAATCAGTCATGTCAGTGTTGGATGATGCGGTCAACTAGTTTTATTATACAAACCATCCTGAACTACTGAGTCGACTTAAGTGAGAGTTCAATATTATGAATACAGAGATGAAATGCTGGCACTCTAAATTGATGCGGACAAGATTTTGCATTCATTGTTTTCCAATATTGCTTTCATTTGTATTATACAATCCATCCTGACATAAAAAAAACATTTGATTTATAATGCAGCCATATAGATTTACATACTAAAGTGCAAATATGGTCAGTTTTGGTTGATGCGGTCAAATAATTTTGCGATACGAGTCACCCTGAGGTATCAAAACTCCTGAAATTTTGGAACATATCAATATATTGAACAAAAGGAGGACATGCTGGCACTGAGATATCAAAACTACTGAAATTTTGTTGCAAGACAATATTTTGAATAAAAAGAGGACAAGCTGGCAATCTAAATTGATGCGGACAAAATTTTGTAGTCGTTGTAGTTCCGATATTGCTGTCATTTGTATTATACAAACTTTCCTGACATAAAAATATTACTGAATTATTATGCGGCTGTATCTATATAGATTTACATAATAAAGTGCAAATATGGTTAGTTTTGGTTGATTTTGTTGTACAAGTCAGCCTGAGGTATCAAAACTGCTGAAATTTTGTTACGTATCAATATATTGAATAAAAAAAGGACATGCTGGCAATCTAAATTGATGTGGACAGAATTTTGTAGTAATTGTGTTCCAATATTGCTGTTTTTTTGTATTATACAATCTATCCTGACATATAAGTATTTCTGAATTTTTTAAGGCGGCTATATCCCTTATAGATATGAAATGTTTGCCGCAAATTTGCAGCAGACTTGCTGCAAGTTTGCAGCAAACAAAAAGTTTGCAGTAACACAGAAAATTGTATTTGCAGATGTTTGCCGCTAGCTGCAAATTTCCCGCAAACATTGCAGCTTTTTGCTGCAAGCTTGCGGCAAGTTTGAAGAAACATCAATGTTTGCAGTAAGATTGCAAGAAAGTTAAGATAATAAAGACTGTTTGCCGCAAGATTGCAGAAAACGTTGACCATTCTATATGTTTGCCGCAAAATTGCAGAAAACTTTGACCATTCTATATCTTTGCCAGAACATTGCAAGAATTACACAATATTGACTAGGCATGCCTAGTTGGCACTTCCTGAAAAGCTAACAATTTGAAATTGTGGGCTAGGTCATGTTGATTGTGTTTGATAAATGTTACATATAAGAGATCAAGGAGGCATTTTGGTTCAATAATATATGATATTCAATATGTAATTTTGTAAGTAGAAATTATTCATAGAACTGTTTAAATAAAATAATTAATGTCACCATCATAACATCTATTTGTTTGAAATACTCTAGCTATTATAAGTTTGAATTTTGTAACTGATTAAATGTATACTGTTTAATAAAGTTAAGTTCAATTCTGTAATGGAATTATTACCTTAAAAAAGCTTTATGCTCAAAACACATTAGAGATTTATCCTTTTTTATTTCTTAATATCGGCATATGATGTCATTTAAGAATGACCCCCGCTCCCTTTTTTCCAATATGAAATGCATGTTTGTATTTCCTTTAATTTCATAAGTGTGCAAGTATTCTTTCAATGACAGTGTTTATATACATGCAGGAAGTTCTTTTTTTTAAATTTTGATGTGTAATTTGAAAGAGATAAATTGAATATGTCAACACATGACATTGGTATATGTGTAGTTCCTGCAAGTTTGCCGCAAGTTTGCAGAAAACAATGGCCGCAAGTTTGCAGCAAACAGTTGCGGCAAGTTTGCGGCAAATCTAATTTGTATAATTATGTTTGCAGTAAGCTTACCTCAACCTTCATTTGCATGGTAAAATGGTTGCGGCAATGTTTGATGCAAACTTGCGGCAAATGTTTGCCACAAGGCTTATTTTTTGGTATTATGTTTGTAAACATAATAAAGTGCAAATATGGTCAGTTTTGCTTGATGCGGTCAAAAAATTTTGTTGTACGAGTCAGCCTGAGGTATCAAAACTACTGAAATTTTGTTACGTTTCAATAAATAATTTAACAAAAGGAGGACAAAAGGAGGACATGCTGGCACTCTAAATTTATGCAGATATTGTGTTCCAATATTGCTGTCATTTGTATTATACAAGCCATACTGATATAAAAATATAACTGATTTTCTATGTGGCTACATAGATTTACATAATAAAGTGCAAATGGTCAGTTTTGGTTGGTACAGGCAAAAAATTTTGTTAGATTTGAACCAGTCTGAGATGTGAAAACTACTGATTTTTGGTGATGATTCAATTTTTTGAATAAAAAAACATGCTTGCACTGTTGATTGGTGCAGAAAAAGAAATATTTGAACGACAATATTATTTTATGTATCCATTTTACATGACTCTGTACTTATGTATCCAGTCATTCTTTGAACGACAAAATTATTTTATGTATCCATTTTACGTGACTCTGTACTTATGTATCCCGTCATACTTTGAACGACAAAATTATTTTATGTATCCATTTTACATGACTCTGTACTTATGTAACCCGTCATACTTTGAACGACAAAATTATTTTATGTATCCATTTTACGTGACTCTGTACTTATGTATCCCGTCATACTTTGAACGACAAAATTATTTCATGTATCCATTTTACGTGACTCTGTACTTATGTATCCCGTCAAACTTTGAACGACAAAATTATTTTATGTATCCATTTTACGTGACTCTGTTCTTATGTATCCCGTCATACTTTGAACGACAAAATTATTTTATGTCTACCTGTGCGAATTTCAAACACGCGTTTTTACGCCAGTACTTAAAACCTTCCATCCTTTATGGAACGATTTTACATAGATAAATAAAATCGTATAATAAAAAAGCAAAATGAGGATGTTAAATTTGATGTATGCCTTTTTGTGCTTCTTCGTTACATTTGTTTGTTTTTATAGTGATTACGATGATAACACAATGTTGACTGCTGTACCCCTATTTTTGACATTTTTACCTATTGTGTCTGTTTGTTTTGTTCACGCATCGTTGTCAATGTAATGGAAGTTGATGCGACTGTCATACAAGTAAGAGGTTTAGCTAGCTATAAAACCAGGTTCAATCCACCATTTTCTACATAAGAAAATGCCTGTACCAAGTCAGAAATATGACAGTTGTTATCCATTCTTTCGATGTGTTTGAGCTTTTGATTTTGCCATTTGATTAGGGACTTTCCGTTCTACAGTTAAGTCTGCCTCATATCTTGACTTACATCTAGAAATTGACAATTAGGGTCGGTTGAAAACAAAACTTTACGACAAAAGAGATGATTTCAGCTTCCCAATTGTGACCTTTCCATTTTAAGTTCCAAGTGGTGAAGTTAACATCATCACTTCGTAAATTTTACGGACGCCATCACGAGTTGGATGACCGTTATGGAATATCCGTTTCACAGATGATATCGGATATGTTCCTTATGTCGTAACAACAATCCCGTTCCCTTTTCATGAATGTGACCTACCGAATTAGACTATTTACCGACTTTGTAATAACATGAGCAACACGACGGGTGCCACATGTGGAGCAGGATCTGCTTACCCTTCCGAAGCACCTGAGATCACTAGTTGGTTGGTGTTGCTGTTGTACCCCTATTTGTGACATTTTTTACCTATTGTGTTTGTTTTGTTATCACATCGTTGTCAATTTAATGGAATTTGATGCAACTGTCATACACGTGAGAGGTTTAGCTAGCTTTAAAACCAGGTTTAATCCCCCATTTTCTAAATAAGAAAATGCATGTACCAAGTCAGCAATA